AAGTACACTGCTGAGGGGAGCAGCGGGCGGGTCAGGAGAGGTCTGCCAGGCCATGTGGGTCATCTTGGGGGCGGACAGGGATCGACCTCATGCTGAAGTGGCTTTAGCTTCTTAGTGCTGTGCTTTAACCTGATGCACCACCACCGGGAGGGCCCACTTTATTTATTTTTAACTTTTTAAAATTGTAGTTCCTCTGGTCTAACAGCTGTTGAGCAACATTTCATTCCTAATTCTTTTGGCCTCATAGCAGTAGAACATTTTATACCAGCAGAATCAACCCCTCGTATCACCACCCACTAAAGGACCAACTTGGCTGGGACCTTAGAACCACTAAATGGGGGTGGGGGGATACATTTTGGTTTTGTCACCCACAGAACCTCACTGGGCTCCAGAAAAAGCAGTACTTTTCTATTATGAGCTGGCATGAAGGAAAGACCAATCCTATTCCAGAGCTCCATCTGGGGTGGATCCCTTTCCAGCAACTGTGCAGTTCTCCATAAGCAAGGCTTGATGCCCTTGAGACTTCTGTTCCTGGTGTGGTGAACATCAGCCCTCTGGACTCAACAATGAGCTCTTGGGACTCCATCACTCCTTCAATGTGACACAGCACATTGGTGCTGCCTCTACATTCAGGCAGTTGCCGCCAGCAAGCCATGCTAATCTGTCAGACCACTCTTGGTCATTTCCCCCTATCTTCCTCTTGTCCATATAACAGAAAGGGGGACATGTGGGTTCCTATGCGCTGGCTACTAACTGTCAACTCATGGGCAACAGTGATCTATTTGCTATCTACAAGTTACAGCTGAGAATTCTCTACCTACAGAATATAACCCATACTATGAAGCAGGCCCAGGTATCACTAGGCCACTGTTGATCTGATTCCATGACTATCTCAATGATGGTCTTGGGATAATGCTGCCTGTGATGATTTCAAACACTTTGCTGGCACAAATGTCTCTTGACATATTGTCATCATATCCCCTTGCCTGTGCCCCATAAAACTTTGCCCTCTATTCCTATCCCACCCTTTAGACCCTATTCTTAACACACTGTCACATGATCAGCTTTTACTGTTCTGGATGCTTTCAATAAATGGCACAAGAGCTTCTGCTCAAGTAGCAGAGTCTTGCCCTGCAAACCTGCTCCCCAACTGCCTTGTCCCTCATACAGTTTCTGCCAAAAATATCAACAGTTTCTTTTGCACAGGTTAATGTGTGTAAACTGCTTAGAATTCCAACAGGCACACATTAAGCATTAGTACTTATTACATGAGAACACATTTTATTTGTGCTACTCTTTAAAATACATTTTGTCACAAATGGCAAAAGCTTAATTGTTTTGATATCTCAGTAGCATTATATTGTGTTTATACACCACATCATCCTAATCCACTCATCTGCTGTTGGGCACTTAAGCTTGTTTCTACCTATTATAAATAGTTTCAATAAACACAGGACTGCATATCTCCCTTCAAATTAGTGTTTTTGCATTCTTTATGTTGATACCTAGGATTAAATTACTGAGTCATATGGTAGATTTATTTGTAATAAGAAACTTCCATATGTTTGTCATAGGGGCTGAACTAGTCTACATTCCCACCACAAGGCACAGGGTTCTTTTCTGTCTACCTATACTTGTTTCTGATCAGTTTGATATGGGCCATTCTCAGAGGTGTGACATAGTATCTCACTGTGGTCTTGATTTGCATTTCCCTGAGGATAAGTGATACGCATTTTTTCAGATGCCTGTTGGCCATCTGTGTATCTTCTTTTGTCAAATGTCTATTTAACTCTTATGCCTATTCTTTGATTGGGTTTTTATTGTTTTTAGTTGAATAAGTTCTTTGTAGATCTTGAATATTAGTCCATTTTTATGTATGATGTACAAATATTTTCTCCCATTCGATAGGGTGTCTTTTCATTTTAACAATGGCTTTTTTGAAATGGAAAAAACATCCCCTGCTCACAGATTGTAAGAATTAACATTATCAAGTGGCCATCCTACAAAAGCAATTTACAGATTCAATGCTATGCCAATACAAATTTCAACGACATTCTTCAAAGAAATAGAACAAATAATGATGAAATTCATGTGAAGCCACAAAAATCTTTGAATAGCCAAAGTCTCCTGACCAAAAAGATTAACAGAAGTATCACATACCCAGACTTCAAACTATACTACAAAGCCATAATAATTAAAAGTGTATGGCCCTCCCTGGTGGTGCAGCTGGTTAAAGCACAGCACTGAGAAGCTAAAGCCACTTCCGTATGAGTTCGATTCCCGCCTGCCCCAGAGGAGACCACATGGTGTGGCAGACCTCTCCTGACCCGCCCGCTGCTCCCCTCAGCAGTGTACTTCGTCGATCTGCTTGTTCTACTCCCCACTCTGTTCCTGGTGAAGCCTCTCGCCATCCTGCACCTCTGGCCTGTAGCCCAGTTCTGTATGCATAAATAAATAAATCTTTAAAAAAAAAAAGTGTATGATACTGGAACAAAACTGAGACACAGACCAATGTATTCAAATAGAAAGCCCAGAAATAAACCCACATATTTATGGACAACTAAACTTTGATAAGGGTGCAGAGAATATGCAGTGGAACAAGGACAGTTTGTTCAATAAATGATGCTCGGCTGCTACATGCAAAAAAAAATTAACAGTGGACTACTCCCTCACACCATCCACAAAAACCAACTCAAAATGGATAGAGACTTGGACATAAGACCTGAAACTCTAAAGTATGTAGAAGAAAATATGGCAAAGCACTAAATTACATTCATCTCAGTAACATCTTTCAAGATACATTCTTCCAAGGCAAAGAACATAAAGGGAAAGATGAACATCTAAGACTACATTAAAAAAAAGTTAAAGCTTTTGTACAGCAAAGGAGATATTAACCAAAACAAGGAGAAACAAAGAGATGCCCTGCTGATTGGAAAAATGTTTTTGCACATAATACTACTGATAAGGGACTGATCACAAAAATCTACAAAGAGCTCACATGACTCAACAAAAACACGTAAAAAATCCAGTCAAAAAATCAGCAGAAGAGCTAGAAAGACACATCTCCAAAGAGCTAAAATGCAAATGACCACCATGTACATAAAAAAAAATGTTCAACATCACTTGTAATTAGGGAAATACAAATCAAAACCAGAAAGAGATACCACCAGTGAGAATGGCACATATTGAAAAAAAATTGCATTCCCATGGATACCCCCAAAATGCCACTATTATGAAAGAATTTTAATTTCTTAGAGATTATTTTCCAAGGACCTGACCCCTATAACCATGTATGTGTAAGGTTTAATTAAAATGAGACAAGTTGAAGAATTATTTTTTATAAAAACAAAATGAAAGTAGTAAAAATGTAAATGACATTTGTCAGGAAACGCTAAGATTTGACTGTTAAAATGAAGCACTTACTTCCTCATTGACAAATTTCCACTCCTGCTTCAGTTCTTCACACCACAGCTCCCACTCTTTAGCAGCATCTAGTAGATTCAGCCAGCGCTCCCACAGGGCCGCTATGGTCCTGAGCAAACACCTGCCAGCATCTGTGCATGTAGGTCTCAAGTGCGTGAAGACCTGACGTAACCTCATGAACACTTCCTTGGTATATGTAAGACTTGAGACCAAGGCCTTAAAAAGAACAGGAACAGGAGACAGGAGGGGCATACAGTTTATTCACTTTCTAAAGTTGATAAACCATTTTAAAATTTGAACAATTAAGGATTTTAGCTGTTCCATAAGTGACACACGATCCTCTATTTAGTCCCCCTTTTTTTTAAGATGTATTTATTTATGAGTACAGAACTGGGGTAGAGGCCAGAGATGTGGGGGGTGAGAGGATCCATCAGAGACAGAATGGGGAGCAGAACAGGCAGAGTGACTGAAATCCACTGCTGAAGGGAGCAGCAGAGGAGACAGGAGAGGTCTGCTGTGCCATGTGGGAAGCTCTCTGGCTGGGGACTGAACTCTGTGCTGCAGTGACTGCAGATCGCTTCGTAGTGCTGCAACTTCAACCCTTGTGTCACCAGGGAGACCCTATTTAAGTCCTTTTGGAAGTCAATTTGAGCCAGGGGATAATTATCCATGTGTGATTTTATTGTCCATGAATTTGGGACTACAGAGACCAATAATGATCCACCAAGCAATTTCCAAGGAAGAGTATATCTGTACAGGTAAATATCCTAGAAGTTCAGTTTGTTATTTTAACCTAAGTCTCATGTTACTAAGTAGTAAATTGACACAATAAACATACTGTATCTACCACCAAAACAATATTTAGAATTTTTGTGTTTGGGGAAAAATATTAAGCACAGATGATTTAGAATGTTCTCATTCAAATTCTAACAACATAATACCATAGATTCTGAGAATAAAATTAAACAACAACTAAAAATGCTTAACAACAGAGTATAAAAGTAATCAGATCAGCACTTAGATAATCCTAATAAATTCTCAGTAGAGCGGAAGAATTTACCATTGATCCAGCATTGTCCTACAAATTAACACTGAAAGCAAAGCTTTAGAGAGAGGGATCAATCAATGTGCTTTCAGGGAGAGGATTGTTCTGGGAACCTTACTGATAAATGGCTTAGACCCATTTTTTCCCTGTAGCTTTTTGCTTAAGGAATTTTCCTGGGAGTACAACCCAGGTTGAAGATTGCTGTGGGTTATAACAGAGCCACATCTCTGTTGCCTCAACTTCCTTGTTCTGCCAAATTTTTTTTTGCCACACGCTCGCTTACCTTGCTCTGTTCTAAGCGCTCTAAAGCTTCTTTGTACGACATTGGCAAGGAAGACATGGACTGCCCAAGAAGTGTTTCCATTTGGCAGAGGGTAGTGCAAATTTTCTCTCTAATTTTTTTGTAGCACTTGTAATTCTCCAGACACCTGGTGAGACAGAATTAGAAAACAACAACAACAACATGGTATTAAATTTTATTTAGGCCAATAAATTCTAAACTTCCCTGAATGAATCCTGAACACTTAATTAGAAAAAAATTCCTTTTGCTATTCAAGGTATTTTGACAAATTTATTTCATTTTATTTATATGTATATGTATTGCATCATTCTTCCTTTCTCCTCTCAGGTGTAGTTTAGACAGATTTTTATTGACTACTTTCTATTAGTACAAAATTTAACAGGAGGGTGAGACTGCTCTTAAAATATTTAAATTGGAAAACTGCATTTTTTGAATACTGCTAAGTATGTATATATTGGTACAATTCTGCTAGAAAACCATTTAGTCTGGGGACTCCCTGGTGGTGCAGGAGTTAAAAACACAGAGCTACCAATCTATTGCAAGCTACTGAGACAAGTTCAATTCCCACAGGGAACTGACCCACATGACAAAGCAGACCTCTCCTGTCTCACTGGCTGCTCCCCTTAGCAGTGTATTTCACTCTGTCCTCCAGTTCTACTCCCCACTTTGCCACTGGTGAATCCTCTCACCCACCCCCATACCTCTGGACTAACCCCCAGTTCTTGTATGCATAAATAAATAAATCTTAAAAAAGAGAAGCATTTAGTCTTAAAAGCATCCCTATTTTTGACTCATTAATTCAACTTTACAATTTATTTTTAAGAATTAATCAAAATATGCTAAAATAATCTTTTCCATATACCTTTTTTTTTTTTTTTTTTTTAAGATTTATTTATTTGTACATACAGAACTGGGGTACAGGCCAGAGACTCAGGGGCAGTGAGAGACTTCACCAGAGACAGAGTGGGGAGCAGAACAGGCAGATCAACGAAGTACACTGCTGAGGGGAGCAGTGGGCGGGTCAGGAGAGGTCTGCCACGCCATGTGGTCTCCTCCGGGGCAGGCGGGAATCGAACTCATGCGGAAGTGGCTTTAGCTTCTCATTGCAGTGCTTTAACCCGCTGCGCCACCAGGGGGGGCCTCCATATACCTTTTTACATATTAGAGTATTAATTAAAAAGGCAAAAATTGAAACTAAATTCCTAACAGAAGATTTGGTTAAGTAAATTGAAATTTGCTTTATAAATTATATAGCAATTCAATGGTTTTAATGAAGATTTTGCAACAATAAGGAAAAGAGCTCATGTAAAAGAGAAACAGCAATTTTACATACCGCATAATGTTGATATAGTTTATAAAACACCATGAATATAATTATGTATACAAAATAGACTATATGCTCCATTGAAAATAATTAAACATTCTGGATCAAATACATATTTTTAAATCTTAAAACATGCTAATTAACTAACTGGCAAGAAATTAAAAGTACTCAGAGCCCAAACTATGTAAAAGTGGAAATTCAGAGAAAAATAAGGTATAGTCTAAGGCCGGTTTTCACCTTGAAGGTATTTGCCAAGTTTCTGTTTTGTTGACCTAGAAGCTGGAGACAGAGGGTAAAACTCAGAGTTTACCCCCAGATTGGATTTTTAATAGGTGATGCCCTCTATAAAGATGTAAGTAACACATAAAACCACAGAGAACCAGCTTCCAGAATAGAGAATAAATTCCTACTAATCAATAAGAAAAAGAATAGCCCAATAAAAATTGAGTAAAGGCATAGATAGGAAGTTTTCAGGAGAGGAAATATGAATAACTACAAAATGTTCAAAAAAGAGGCTCAACCTCATTAGAAACAGAGGCACAAGTTAAAACCATATTGAAATTACTTCTCATTCTTCAGCCTGCAAAAACTAAGTCTCACAACATCAAGTGTTAGCGAGGCCGTGGGACAACTAGAACAGCAATTGCTACTTATTTGAGTAGAAATGGGTAAAAGAATTAAAAGTTTAAGGTGGCTGTAAAACTTTGACCTGTCAATTACAATTCTAGTTATAAACCTAGGCATTTGAAATTGTCCTGGCAGCACAATTCATTAATGTAAAAACTAGAAATAACCCTAATTCTACTAACTGCTAGGTGACTGGACATTATTTATGAGTATGGGTAGATCACGAATGAGTGAGTTCAGCAATCATAATAATGAGTCCAAAGGAAAATTAAGTCACACAGACACAAAAATAGGACAGAAATACAAAGTAAAAATATTTTGAAATTTGTAATTTGTTTTTAAAGCATTATCCGAAAAAAGACATACCTACCTTTCTATCTCAGTTTCTTTTATTTTGACTGCCTCCTCCAAGGCTGAGTTCTTAGCAACTACTTTCTGCAGAGTGGACTGAAGCTGTAGTTTGGCTTCTGGGCAGCAGATGGTCCCCAATTTCTCAGAGAGGCCCTGGATATTGGCTATTGCAGATTCTAATTCTTCTTGTTGCTGGTGAACTTTCTCCAGTGATTCTTGTGGATTATCGAGGTCTACCTGAGGGGCTGCAAGGATGGCTTCCAGGGCTGTGATGATTCCTGTTGTCCTGGTGATGGCTTTGTCATAGTGTACCATATTTTCATAAGCATCATTCAAGATATTCTGGTGAATAGAAGATAAAAGGTTATGAAAAATTATCAAACTTTTGGAAATTCTGTTGATCTTGCACTTTTGTAGCACATTCATAATTTGTCATATAAGAAAGAACTAATATTTAACACTACACTAGTATTTAAAACTACTATTTGCTTAAAGAAAAATTGTTTCAGATTTGCTAAGAAATTGTAATCTAGATACAAAAATGTATCTTATGTATCTTGTCTAATGACAGGTGTTTCTGCTTTAGAGTTCTTGTATTAGACTGAATTAAACTGGTGAATACATTTAATGTTTATAACCATATATTTATGAAAACAAATGAAAAACACTCCCAAACCTCTTGGTGCTTTAAAACAGTGGCTCTGACACTACTGTTAGTTTTGAGCACATCACATTGTCTCCAGGCCTAAGTCTTTTCATTGATAGAATAGTTAAAATAAAGGTTCCTAAAATTTTCCACACTAAACTAATGATAAAGGATTGATCACAAAAATATACAAAGAACTGATGAAACGCAACAAAAATAAAGCAAACAACCTCATCAAAAAATAGGCAGAAGAGCTAAAAAGACACTTCTCCAAAGAGGAAATGCAGATTGCCAACAAGCATATGAAAAAATGTTCAACATCATTCTTAATAAGGGAGATGCAAATTAAAACCACAATGAGATACCACCTCACCCCAGTGAGAATGGCACATCTTCAAGCAACACACCAAATGTTGGAGAAGATGTGGAGAAAAAGGAACTCTCTTGCACTGCTGGTGGGAATGCAAACTAGTACAACCACTATGGAAAACTCTTTGGAGTTTCCTTAAACTGCTAAACATGGAGCTTCCCAATGACCCAATAATCCCACTCCTAAGTATCTACCCAAAAGACACAAAAACACTGATTCAAAAGATACCTGCACTCCCATGTTTACTACTGTTTTATTCACAATTGAAAAGACATGGAAACAGCCCAAATGCCCAAAATTGGATTACTGGATTAAAAAGATGTGGTACATATACACAATGGAATATTACTGAGCAACCAAAAAAAAGAAACACATGTCTTTTGCAGCAACATGGATGGAGCTGGAAAAGATCATGCTTAGTGAAATAAACCAGAAAGAAAAGGAAAAATACCAGATGGTTTCTCTCATGGCAGGAACATAACAGAACAGGCAAGAAAATAATGATAATGATGAACAGCTATATGCCAGAAACAGTTTGTGGGAGTGGAGTGGGGAATGGCATCAAAAACAGTGGCGGGAGGGAAATGTACTAAACTATGGTGATGGCACATGGGTGACTTGGTGATGGGAATCCAAGGGAATTGCAAATGAGATGAAAAATGCACAAAATGATGTAAAAATAAACTACTTATATATATATATATATAATAAAATAAACTACTTATATATATATATATATATATATATATATATATACACACACACACACACATGTAGGAGTTGGGGTATAGGCTAGAGTTTGAGGGGGAGGGTGAGAGAAGTCATCAGAGACAAGAGTGTTGAGCAGAACAGGCAGATCAAGTGAAATACACTACTGAGGGGAGCAGAGGGCCAGAAAGGAGAGATCTGTGCCATGTGGGTCAGCTCCCTGGCTGGTTGGAGATTGAATTTCTGTTGGAATGGCTTGCCATAGTTTGGTAGAGCTGTGTCTTTAACCCCTGCACCACCAAGGAGACCCCTTATGTCCCACAAGTCCTAAAAATCAAAGACAAGTTTGGTCTGAGCTCAACAGAGGCTATGACGTATATAGAAATAAGGGCATAAAAACTCATCTTTTTCCAAACTCTAAGACACTATATAGGTTATATGTTGCACTAGGATTACAAAGTGGCCCAATGCAATTTTTCTAAATGGTTCTTCTCTTGTAGAGAATTTTCTTGTAGAACTTGAAAACAGTAGACATTAATTAAAATCATCAAATAAAAATAGATGCATAAACCACCTAATAAAAAAAAACTTACTGTGCGCATATCAATGTTTGTATAAAGCTGCAGGTAAAGATCATCAATGTTCTCAAGTTTTATCTGCACGTCACTAGCTCCAGAAGAGTTTTCTTCTCTTTGTTTCTCAATGACATTCACAGCTCTGATCCTATACATTTCTAACTGAATTTGTTCTTGAAGTGCTTCGCAATTATCTTTTTCATTCTGGATATGTTCAGTTTTCAAATTTACAAGCAAAGGCTGCTGTAATTGAGATTTTATATGATTTAAAACATCTAAGGAATTTTCAAGTTTGTCCAGAAAATTCTTTTCATCTATATCTTTGGGGTGGCATTCTAGTGCTCTATTTTGGAGAACCTTCTGTAACTTATCACTTTCTTCTGCATACTGCTTTATTTGCAGTATTTCTTTCTCTTTGAATGAGCCATCAAAAACTTCACTTTCACTTAATTTCTTTATTATCTCAAGATATGAGCCCATATTTTTCTCAAGTCTCTGATTCACAATTTGAACACTGGGCAGACTACTTTCTGAAGTATAAGGTGCTTTTAGTGCTGCTTCAGCCCTTTGCTGAATCTGCAAATCTCTAGCCCTTAGTTTCCTTAGTGATGATTGATATTTGTCATGTTCTGCCACAAATGTGTCCAACTGCTTAATTTTTTCTTCAAGTTCCTTTTCTTTCTCAGATACTTGGGATTGTAAATGGTCAAGTTGGGAACAATCCAAATTTAGGCCTATAGAGTGAAATAGTTCCTTGAGTTTCAATACCTGTTGGATACTGGATTGAATACCAGTGAGTTGCTCTTTAAGACTATAGAACTCCTCTTTCATGCCTTGATTTATTCCTTGCTTTAGTGGCAATCTCTTGTGCAGAATACTATCAACTTCCTGCTGAAACACAGCTGCTTTTTCCTGGAATTCTCTGTAAAAATCTAATTTGTTTTCTATTTGGTTACATTTATTCTGAATGAATCTTTGTGTTCTCTTGGCTCTAGTCTTAAGATTTTTCAACTGATCATCCAGAAATAGTCTTTCAAACACACTTAGGTCCTTACAGATGTTTGTTTGTTCCTGTAGATATGTTGAAATAACACTCTGAATTTCTAGCAGTTCCTTCTGAGATGTCATCAAAGTGGCATGTTCTTGTTCCAATTCAGCTTCTGTGGAGGTTGTTTCTGCCTTGGGAATTATCAGAGCTTCATTTCCTTGAAGTGAAAATTGAATCGTCTCTATTATTGCAACAAATTTGCTTCTTTCTTCTAATTTCAATTCTAATTGCTGTGATCTTTGGGTAGATTTTAGAACCAGCATTTGGTATTGATTCTGTAAGTCCTGGAGGAAGTTATTTAAATCGTTGCTCTCATGCACTGTAAGATTAGGAATACTGTCTTTGACCTCTTCAACCAGTGAGTCTATGGTGTTTTGTTTTTCCAGAATGCCACTGTGCATCTCCTTGCATTTTCTGATCTGTGAAAGAATCTCGTCTGGGAGAAGGGAAATGGTAGGAATGAGTTCACCTAACAAATTCTTGACCCACAATATAGTCTCTTTAATCTTGTTCCTTATTTCACACTTTTTGGTCTGATTTTCTACCTCTGTCATTAACGGTTCCAACACTCCCAGTTGCTGCTGAAAACTATTTATTGCATTCTCCAAAAGGTTCTTTTCTTTCCCCCCCCATATCCTCTTTATCAGCAGTTCAGTTTTCCTTTTGAAGACAGAAAATCTGTGTTTGATGGCCTGGAGCTCAGTGGCCAAGCTTAGCATGCTTTCGCTCTCTTCTAGATCCTCTGAAGAGTTCAGCCTTAACTGTAGATGCTGCTGCTTCTGCTGCAGGAAAATCTCAAGATCTTGGACCTCATGCATAAGAAAAGAAAATTCATTGTATTCCATGACTTGCTGAGAATATTTCTTCTGGACCAGTTGTTCCAGTTGTTCCCAACTATGTTCAAGCTGCTTGATCTGGCTTTCTAACAGCTTCTTATCTATGTCAGTCAGATAGTTTGATAAATCTTTCCACTCAATTTTTATCTTGTTTAAAGAACATTTATCCTTTTCTATTGATGTCAGGAAGTTTTTAATTTTGTCCAAGTAGGATGCACTGTCCAGTGGTCCCCTAGAAAACAGGAAACAATAATAACATTACCTATTACCTTGTGGTAAGATATTATTATTAGAAGTTTTCTTTGGAATCACAGAAAAGAAAGTTATCTACAACAGTACTTTTTCCTCTAAAAAAAGAAAAAAAGAGAGAAAGGGGTTCTCTCATTAAAATGAAGATCAGAATCTTTTTCATTTTGGCTTTTAATTAGTGTGACCACTAGAGGGCTCACCAAAAATGAGTTATCATAAAAATGCAGAAACAACAAAAAAATGGAGTGAAGAATAAAAGGAACTATGTATGAAAAAATACTCTAATTTATAACATACTTAGACAAAAATTACTCTAAAACTAAGAAAAGTTACCACAACATCAACCCCTTTTTTGTCTACACATCGGGTTACTCTTTTGAATTTCAGTGTTTCCTCAAAGGGAATCACTGAAAGTAAATCCCAATTAGGCCTATGTCAAAATAGGTAAGATCCTATACAGTGAAAGAGACAATGATCAAAACAAAAAGCACCCTACAGAATGGAAGAAAAGATTTGCATACCATATATATCACAAGAGACTGATACTAACGATCTACAATGATCTACAAAGCTCATACAACTCAATAAAAAAGAAAACAAACAACCCAATCAAAAACACTTCTTTAACCAAAAGGGGGAATTAAACAGACACTTCTCCAAAGAGGATGTGCTAATGTTCAACAGCCATGTGAAAAAAATGTTTATCCTTACTTATCATGGCAATGCAAACTAAAAGCACAATGAGACACCAACTCATACATGTGAGAATGGCCTATGTCAAAAAAACTAAACACAACAAATGCTGTCAAGGGCGTAAAGAAAAGGAATTCTGTACACTACTGGTGAGAATGTAGACGGGTCTACCATGGAAGGCTGTGTGGAGATTACCCAAAAGACTGCAAATGGATCTGACATGTTATCCAGCAATTCCACTTTTAAAAATCTACCCAAAGGACACAAAAACACTAATTTGGAAGGAAACCTGTAAGTCTATGTTTATAGCAGCACTATTTCAATAGCCAAGATATACAAACAACCTAAATGTCCCATACAGATGACTGGATCAAGAAGATGTGATATATAAATACAGTGAAATATACTACTCTGTGATCAAGAAAGATAAACCTGTGAGATATGTGGTAACATGATGGAACTGAAAGGGATTATCGTAAGTGAAGTGAACCAGAAGGAGAATGATAACTACTGGATGATTTCACTGATGTGTGAAATATAGAGGTAAAAAACAAAACAAAGTATCAGACAAATTTTAAAAGTGATCTTTGAAACCTGAATACAGATCTGAGGCATATAGAAGAGAGGAGAGGGGGAGAAAGAAAGGGGAGAAAGGGAGGGAGGAGAAAAGACTGCAGGAAGAGAATAGACTATGGTGGAGGATGATGGGGGCTTTGGTGGTGGAAAAACTATGGTGACAAAACCTGGGAGGAGAAATCCTATGTATGAAGAAAATATAAATATATATATATATAAAATGATACATCATTAACAAGAAACAAAAAAAAAAAGGAAGACTTTTTAATGAGCAAATATTCATGCATTAAGATTAGGGCCTCCCTGGTGGTGCAGAGGTTAAGTGTCAGTGCTATCAAAAGCTATTAATAAGCTACTACTGCCTCAGTTCGATCCCCAGCCAGGTTGCTGACCCACATGGTGCAGCAGACCACTACTGTTTCACCTGCTGCTCCCCTCAGCAGTGTATTTCAGTCAATCCACCTGTTCTGCCCCTTACTCTGTCTCTGGTGAATCCTGTCAACCCCCACACCTCTTGCCTACACCCCAGTTCTTCTATGCACAAGTAATATTTTTTTAAATACTATATTTACAACTCCTTACCCATCATTTTCAAACCAAAAGGAGTACAAATATTTTAAAGAAACTGTTACATGTATATTCAATATATCCAACTATTTAAACAAATGATGCTGATAATCAACAACTATATAATTCTTTTTTTCCATCAACATAGTTTACAACAAATTCTTGGCAAACTGAAATAATGAATTTCCTAGAACTGAAACCCATTTTGTGGCTTTTGTAGAGGGAATAAAGTGTTTCATAATTTATATAATTTAGTTGTAAAATTAATATATACAATTTTTTGCATGAAATTTAAAAGTTTTCCTAAATGGCTTTCACATGGACTTGATTCACATTGAGTATTGATATCATAATATCCTTTTACTGTATAAACTCTTTAAAACCTTGGCCCATCTGAGTTAATGGAGGCTATACTTGAATAAAATGAATACAAGTCTTAAATTCTTACTTACACTTTTAGACTTTCTTTTTCTGTCATCAAGGCTTTCATTGAGGACTCAACTACAGCAAGGTGCTCCTGAAAATCTTTAAGGAGACAGTATTGTCTTTCTTTGTTCTTCTTCAAAGTCCTAAGTACCTGAAGCAGGTTGTCCAAATGTTGTGTGGAATACCTGGCAACCACGGCACCTGTTTCTGTTTTGTTGAGGTCCTCAGTTTGTTCCAATGGTTCAATAGCTGCTTTCTTTGCCTCCAACTGGGAATGTAACTCCTAAAAACAAGTCAAAAAACATCAGTGAATATACACTCTTATTCAGCAACTCAATGGGTCATTTTTTCCCTTCCTTTTTTTCCTTCCAGTAACACATTCTATGATACTAAGATGTTTTAAGTCATTTTCACACATAGAAACTAAGGTTCTAATATTTAAAAGATAATTTTCATTAGAATCATGTTAAATCTGGACAAAATTAGTCTAGCTTTTAATAGCAAGTTAGATCACTCTTTCAGGTTAAGAGATTCTGTAATGATTGAAAGAAGATTCGCATTATTATATTTTTACATATATGCCCCCTCCTATTTAAGATCCTGTTAACTGTTATAAAGAATTAGTTAAAATTGTAGTGATCATTTTTAAAAACACATCATTTACTGGAATGCTAAATTACATAGCTATAAATATATACAGACATAAACACAGCTATATAATGTTGATAACTAGGAAAAAAGAATTTTTCATAATCAGAATACATATGACTAAAAAAAGGAATGATGAAAATCAGAATCTCCAAATTCTATTACTAAGTTTTTAGAAACTTTATGAAAGAGAAAGAAGATTAATGCTCATTAAACTCTTCCACATTTTAAATAGGAAGATTTATACAACCTACTGATTAGTACATAATTATATAGTTACCAAATTGATCATCAGGCAAAGGTTAAGTAAGACTTTTCACTCTGTGCAAGCAAGTTTTTGGTAATTAAAATATATTGTATTGCACTGGATAAATGATGCAATCATGTTGTCAGTGTTTTTCTTGTTTCCATACCTCTATGGCTTTTAATTGTTCATTTCTTAACATAACATCTAATTCTAAAGGTTGATTTTGCAGCTCGTTGACTTTCTGTTCATCTTCAGTGTTTTTCATGCTTTCTTGAACATCGAAAGAAAGTTGTTTTGACAAAACCATTTCCACAGCTGAATTCTGGAAACATGAAAAGATTGCTGAATAGTTTGCCTTCCAAATAAATAATTTCTATTTTTTCTTGATGAAAACATTTCAGTTCCTTATATGTACTCAGAAAAAAAAAGTGTATTTAGACACTACCAAAGATGACAATATTCAATGCCTATATTGGTATTCTAAAAAAAAAAAAGAACAAAATTTCCTTGACAAGAGGGTATGAGGTCTAACATTGCTCAATTATATACTGAGGCATAACCTATAGTCTTAAAGAAAAAATATAAATATAAAAAGGATGATTCCAAAGCTTATTTTTAGCCAAGATGCAGAGGATAGGGCAAATAAGAGACTTGCAATATTACCTATTGATAAGTAGTTTAAAATAAAGGATTGATGAAGGAAACAACAAGATTTAATTAAATTAAAAATAATCTATGCCTTAAACCAACTAGTAATAAGAACTCCTACAAGGGGAAGGCAGAACAGATTTTACAAGGAGGAATGTGATTTTTTCCTCCAAGTTTTAAGAACTTGAGGTTCCCAAAGGGATACAAAGGAACAGTGCTTTTCCATTCTTTTTTTTCAATTTTTTTTTAAAGATTTATTTATTTATGCATACAGAACTGGGGTACAGGCCATAGGTGCAGGGGCGGCGAGAGGCTTCACCAGAGACAGAGTGGGGAGCAGAACAGGCAGATCAACGAAGTACACTGCTGAGAGGAGCAGCGGGCGGGTCAGGAGAGGTCTGCCGCGCCATGTGGTCACCTCCGGGGCAGGCGGGAATCAGACTCATGCGGAAGTGGCTTTAGCTTCTCAGTGCTGTGCTTTAACCCGCTGCGCCACCAGGGAGGGCCGCTTTTCCATTCTTTAAGTAACTATTTTGAGCACTTATAAGTACCAGACACCATCTCGGTCACTGTTAAGATTTTCATTATTTTGCTAAGGTATTCGTTTTTATTTTCAGATTACTTTATAAGTATCACTTAATTTTGCTATATACTTTCATGTCAGAAAAATCTTAGAGGTATAGAGTCTGTGAATGAAATTTGTCCATATCCCAAACACGGTAGAAATTGTCTAAAAATCATTGCCTAGATAATAATGTAAGGGTTAACATTGTCAACAATTTTATAGGTGCCAGCTATGGTTGAAGAGCTATATGGAAGGCAGCATCTCAGAGGGTAAAGACCCAGGAAAGCTGCGAGAGGAAAAGTGAGAGGTGTCGTACGCAGGTGGCGAGGCCCATGGGTGCTCTTGCCACAACCTAACACCACTCTGTCTCCTTTCCAGTGATGCTCACGTCACACCGAGCAGCCCCATGAGGTCGCCTGTGGAACAAGCTACTGGAGCTAAAGGTCCAGATTCTAGTTCAACTTGTCTTACTATCCATCATGTAAGCATCCAGTGCCCTTGGTCTCTCTCACCTGATGGACTGGTGCCCTGAGGACTAGCAACTCTCGTATTGTGCCATCTGCAACCTGCCACTAGTGGTGGGAGACAGCATCCCAAAGAAGCTGACATCCTCCCCAAACAAACACCATTTGTTTACCAACTCCAAAAGTCCTGCTTCTTGTTTGGCAAGAAATCCAACAGAAGCTCTCAAACGAACATTTCAAATTTAAAAGGTAACATTCCTGTGCTCATGCCAGAGGTCAGAACACCGGCTCAAGTCCTGATTGGCTCATGGAAAGAGTCTTTCTGGACCAATCATCATGCACTATATATTGGGCAATGGCTTTGATCTGGCAAACTCACTTGAAACATTGTATTTTAAAGTATTCGATATGAGATGTTTCAAACATACTTAAAAGAACAGATTATAACTCACTACTCACAGCACATATATAAGTGACAGAATTTTCCGTGTTAAAAATATAATTTAGGGCCCTCCAGGGTGGCGCAGCGGGTTACGGCACTGCACAAAGCTTAAGCCACTTCTGCATGAGTTCGATCCCCGCCTGCCCCGGAGGCGACCACATGGCGAGGCAGACCTCTCCTGACCCGCCCGCTGCTCCCCTCAGCAGTGTACTTCGTCCATCTGTCTGTTCTGCACCTCGCTCTGTCTCTGGTGAAGCCTCTCACCCTCCACATCTCTGGCCTGTACCCCAGCTCTGTATGAATAAATAAATAAATCTTTAAAATTATATATATATATATAATTTTAAAGACCAATCCTCATCCCCTTTCCATTTCTTTCCCCCTGGAACTCACGGCTCTTCTAAAATTCACAAACATGTTTTCATTCTTTTACTGCCTAAATTAGTACCCATGAAGTATTGTTTTATGTGTTTTTATTCCTTATGAAATTAGAGTCATGTATGGATCATTTTTCACGTGTCTTTTTCCCATTTAATGGAGTGTATGTGTGTATGTTATTTCTTTTTTTATTGAGGTAACTGGTTTACAACACTGTATATGATTTGAAGGTACAGGATCACACCCTTCAAGTGACATCACACCACACCCACGACCAAGATACTGAAATCCTCCACAGCCCATTGGACCCATTTTCCCACTTTGCTCCCTTCCTCCCTCTGGCAGCTTCGAGTCTACAGTCAGGTTTCTAGGGTATGTTATTGGTTTGCTTTTACCTAACCCTTTGTTTTGTTTCTCTATATTCTACATATAAGTGATTCCATTCAGTAACTGTCTAAATAGCAGCATCAATAAATATTTTAATAAATTAAGAATTTATTTTCACTATCACAATAGTTGTTGGTTAATTTGACTTGTAATTCCATAAAATGTGCCTATGTTCTCTTTTTAGTCCTTGTATGAAGACTCCTGCTTAAATAATTTATACTTGTATCTTTCTTATATTTGTCACATTCTGCTCTACTTGTCTATGCATATTTTTATCTCTTACTAAGTTTAAAACTGCTTGTAATCTTGCATAGTCTAATGTTACATAAAATAAATATAGCTAGTACTTAGAGATAGTAAGTGTAGATTCAGAAAAAAAAATTCATGTTGCAAGAGTAATGAAATAAAATGTGCTACAAGTATTCAAACTAGTCTTCTGTAAACCAGAACTATGAGAACAGTTTGAGGATGAAGACTTTTTACCTGCTCTGAAAACAATTTTTTAATGATGTGTCATAAATTATCAATTCATTATTCAATATTGGTAAAAGCTTAATAAATTAAAACAGTCTTATTGGATACAATCTTCACATAATTTTCAATATATTCCTATATTTGGGAGTTTATAGTCAAATGGCTGAGGAGCTAATTTAAGTTGTGAGGCAACTCCCTTTAAGCAATGTCCTGTATTGCTGTGAGCCTCTTACTATCCTTTGAAAGCACTAAAGGACTTTCCCTTATGATTTATTTATCATTCTTTAAAAAAACTGTTATGTTTCTTTGCTATATATACAACCTCAAGAGTCTTGCTTACTGAGTGACTAATCCTTGAAGACAAATTTCCTTAGCAATAGCTAACATTGTGGGATTTCTCAGAAATCTTTTCTTATCTCCAGAGAGATTCTGTTGGCCATTAACCTTGTATTATGCATTCTAGAAAATCCTCTCTAGTTTCCTCACTCTCTCATGCATCTCTTTTGAAGGAAGACAACAGAAGTGGATGTTCTTTTCATTCCTGTTGGTTATTATTCCATACAAAGCTGCTGAGAATGCACACTTAATGGTCTAACCTGTGCCACTGTCCCACTGGACTCTGGATTGTGAGTAGGGAGCCCCTTTCAAGTACAGTTTACTGGATGGCTTTTTGTGCCTTTTCCATTTTAATCTTGAACCTGTGAGAAAGCACTTTAAGAGCCACAGGAAAATGTACCCACTGTTCATTTAATATGAAAACAAAACATGATTCTTCTTTCTTCTCTCCAGGGAAAATTAAGAGCCTGAATGCTGATAATCTCACACCAAATGATCTGACATTTAAAAATACATTTGCAGTATAGGGTTAACATGCGAAGAAAGGATCCTAACCCTTCAAATACAGTCTCTGATTTCACTATAAAATCAACTAAAAAAAAAAAAATAGGGCTCTTGGATTTTTTTTTTTTGAGAAAATGGGTGAAGCACATTTTCTTTTCTTTTGCCTTTTCTAATTTGCCGTTGTGCTCCTGACCCAAGAAACTGTATCTGATTACCTATCAGAGAGAATAATAAACCTAAATTGATGACTGACATTTTAACAGATTGAACAGTAGTATTTCACCACTGAAATCCTGGACAGTTTTCTAAGAGTTCTTTTTGTAAGTGGGCGTCATAAATAGCCAGCCCATTGAGGGTTTAATTATGAAATCAGAAGGCTTGATTCACAACCCTCTTTTCAGAGCCCACACCTCTTCATGCTCAGATGTGATGTCTTGGAAATGCAATCACAAGTACTTACCTTGTTTACTCCCAAGCCTTCCTCTAACGACTCCACTGCAGCTGAGTCCTGAGTGGACCCCTGCACATCACAAGTGACCTCCATCCCTCCACCTGGCAGAGCAAACTTTTCTTTCTTTTCTGTTGAACATTTTGATTTGAGAATGTTGTTGAGACCATTTTCTGTGTCCTGTTTAGCAGACTGAAGTCTGTTTTCCAAATCTTTTTGTTTACACTTAAGTGATTTTATATCATCTTTAATAATCTTCTGTCCCATTGAAGATGTATTTTGCTTGATGGATTTTGCTAACGCTAGAATCTTCTTTAATGTGCCATCTTGTAAACTGAGTCTGTTTTCTAGTTCCTATAAGTGGAAAAAAGATCGTCAAAAACAGTATCTCTGTTCAAGTGTCACAAGAGATAATTGACTTTTGTAAATCACAGTACATTCTGCTTCACTCGAGGAGCACAGAAAAAACTTCAACTCATCACAGAGGAAACACTGGTCAAAATTTAAACCAAGTTCTTCAAGCAGATTTTATAAACTACAAGAAATTCATAAGAATAACAGAAAACTTTCATAGCACAATTCCTGGAATAGAGGAGGCAGTGACTTCACTGCATATTTGTAGAGCCTATATTTTATTCAAGATATAGCCTTTTTATGCAATCAAAACACTAAGTAATAAGTGCTTAATATGTGTAAAGCACTGAAAATAATCCTTTAAAATATGCCTACGTGATTTAGTGTTCATGTCTAAAATTCAGAGGAAGACTGAAATCAATTTGTCTAATGAAGTATCTTAAATGCTACAAGAATGCTACCAATATTTACTAAAGGCATGAAAGAGTGAGGCTAATTTCAGAATTTTAGAGTAAAAGAAATCTGAGGTACTATGGCAATTACTGATTTTACTGTGTTAATATAACACCTCTTAAAGTTAGTAGGTGAACTATGTAGGATTTAGTAGTCACTGTTCTCATGGGCCACACAATAAATATTCATTTGTTCACTCATTCAATTAATAACTCATTCAATGTCATAAGTATTATGATAGAAGATGAAGTTACATAGATAAGTAAAATCTAGTCTCTTCAAGTTCCTAAAGCGTAGTGAGAAAGACACAGGAACAAAACAAAACAAACAAACAAACAAAAAAAAACCCCAGAAAACAGACACTTGTAATAGAATGAGAGAAGGTTGATGGTAACAGGCATACACAGCTTGTGGAAACACACCAAGCTGGAAGAAGAGAGCTCCACATTTGCATTCCACAAAGATGGACATTTCATTCACCTAAGGCAGGTAGTCCATGAACACGAAAGTAGTGAGGTAAGACATACAACTCCTGCCCACCCATGATGAAAAATGCAAAACTGAAAATTTTCCCTCTAGGTGTTGTGTTAGATGCTTCCTTTGACTACCCATCATTTCTTGGAATCCCTGCAGTGTGTTGTAGCAAAGATCTCAAAAACTGCAGACTGACCATGGGTGAAGTTCAACTCAAATTCAAAATGGATCTGATCACTAAAGAGCAAAACATTCCAATTTTTCTGGGGGCTCAGAATTTTATCTAATACTCATCTAAAAGCACTTTAATTTCTAGCAGGAGACGCTGACAGGTCAAGGGGTAGTTAATGCTGATTTTTTTAAATGTTGATCATGCCTAGACACTGTTCAATACCTGCAGCTTCTGCAGCTTCTCTTCAATTGTGGTTTGATCCAAAGGCTTATCAGAAAAACTGTGGAAGTCCTTTGAGAAATTGTCCAGTGCAGTATTTAGCTCTGTGACACAAACCTGGTAGCTGTGGTGTTCCTGAACATCATTTTCCAATTTTTGCACAGAATCCTAGAAATAAAACCACCAGTTGGCAAATCATTTCCCTCTGAAAATTTTCACTTAGCATGTAATTAAATTGTACTTAAGTACTTGTTTCATGAGGTATCATCTCAAAAAAGATGTATGAATTCGAACATAAAGATTTTAATGTTCAAGACATGTCACTGTAAATCTCCCACCTACCCACCCCCTCACTTTACTGAAACCATGTTAGTCTCTCCCATGTTTCTCTGCCTTCATTTCATCTTTAAACATAATTTGGCAAGAGGTTGACAAAACAAAATGGCTACAAATTATATCATCAAATCACAAACACCCATAATAAAGCAACTTTCTTAATTACCCTTCTTACTAAAACCAGGTACCTGCCCTTGGAAATGACACAGGAGATCAACCTATCAGCAGATTCCTGTTCTAAGAACCAAATATCTAAACTGTGTGTTAAGGAAAAGTAATCTTAACTCCAAAGCAAAACCAACTTCAGGTTCTCCTGGCATGGTCGAAAATAGGCAACTATTAAACCTAACAACTTAAGAGTCAAACAGGTGTTACTTTGCCCCTGTTCAATTCCTCTGCTTTATAAGCAGAATTTCTCATCAGGTAATCCTTACATTGAATCTGGCTTTCAGAATGCAAAGAATATAAGCAATTCTCTTAAGAGGATACATTCTCACCAGACAAGCTGAAATGCAAACTCCTCTTTCACTGCAGATCATTAGAAAGATGCAAGGGAAGGACCTGCTAAGGTGTGTATAGCACAATAGTTACAAACTGCTATAATAGCTAGATGATGGATCATGTACAGGTAATTTTTACCGTCAACCTTACAGAGAAACCTTAAACAGGGGAACCCTCCCTACTCCTGAAGAAAGGGACTTCAGTTTTTCTTTAGTTATTCTTTCAGATGAAAGGAAATAACTTCAATACCCAGGGGATGCCTCAGTAAAACTGGATTGATTCTTCCATTCTTAAGGAGTTAGTATTTTTATCTAAAAATGACATATTGATTTTAAAAGGTTTTGATTTGCCAAAGAACAAAAAAAGGTACTGTATTCAAATCTTCCATCATTATGTATAATTATGACAATCATGCACAATTTACTCTGACCACTTCACCTGTAGCTGCTGCAGAAGACTTTCATGTAGATGCTTTATTTCTAGCCATGGCTCTTCACTGAAATTAGGATTTTTTGTGCACTCTAAAAGGTAATTTCCTTGAGATTTTAGTTCCTCTAGCAAGGAGGTCAAATCTTGTGCTTTCTTGAGAAACTTCTTATAAATTGTGAGCTGAGCTGTCTTTTCCTGCAAACCATGTTGCAGGGCAAAGCCCACCTCTTGTTTCTTTTTAAGTTCTGTGAGCATTAATCTCAGGTCTTCCTTACTTTGTAGGTACTTCTCTCCTTCTAAAAGAAGCTTTTCTTGATGGCTAAATGTAACAAAATATTTTACAAATGAAATGACACTTAGCAAAATGGAAGAGCATATTATAATGCAACACACATTATAATAATAAACATCAAGGTAATATTAACATGCTTTACCCCCAGAGATTTTTTTGGTATAACTTTTTTTTTATAATTTATTTATGGGCCCTCCCTGGTGGTGCAACAGGCAAAAGCACAGCATAGTGAGACCATCACAGCCACTGCAGCATGAGTTTGATGCCTGGCCAGGGAGGTGACCTACATAGCACGGCAGATCTCTCCTGGCCCGCCCACTGCCCCCCTCAGCAGTGTACTTCGTCGATTTGCCTGTTCTGCTCCCCACTCTGTCTCTGGCGAATCCTCTCACTCCCGCACTGTACCCCAGTGGAGCAGTAGGCAAGACAGGAGAGGTCTGCTGCGCCGTGTGCGTCACCTCCCGGGTAGGGATCAAACTCACACTAAAACGGCTGCAGCCAGCTTGCAGTGCTGTGTCCTAACCCACTGTGCCACCAGGGAGGGCCCAGTATTATATCATTCTGAACAGCACTAAATTTAGTTCATAATACAAGATGAATTACTAAAAGAAAAAAAGGTTGTCATATAATTTGACCTTAAGAGTCAAATTTAATAATTTAAATTTCAAAATTTCAAACTATGTCACACAGCTTTTATTATGTTTAAATATAAATATATCATCCTTGTTTTTCATTTTCATATAATTAAACAAACACACATTCAGTATATGTAGGCCATGTAACTGGTTTATGCTTTCTATAGCTTAAATTTAGTTTTGATGTCATTGCCTTCTTAGGAAAAAAAAAATCACGTATCCACCAAACATTATATGTGCCATTTAAGATGGCACATGAATTAAACATTTTCACCAGAAATATGTCCGTTGATCAGACACTTACAATACTTACACATTTAAGACTCTCTTGAGTATATATTTAAGAGCATGAATTACCCTTCAGTGATATCATGCAGGTACCAAAGTTGTCTGGGGGGAAGAGGACTTTGGTACAGAAGCAGGTATTGAAGGTGGAATGATAAACAAAGTTTTGTTGCCAAGAACCCTAGCATTTAATGCACCAGCCAGAGGAAACACTGCACTGATGACAACATGTATTTCCTACCGGATCCAGAGAAATTCCTCTGACATTATGAGTGACCTAACACTCCAGACTCCAGGAGGCAGACAAAATACTTGCTATGGCTTTACTGTGCAACAAAAGCCCCAAAAGAGGCCAAGGTGTGCTCTTTACCTCAGATATGTGTCTGCCAAGTGCAGTGTGGAGTCCCATTGGTCCTTGATGTCAGCAAGGGTCTTTGGAACCAGTGCAGCATTGCTGGCCTCAGCCTGGCTCGTGATGGTCTCTATTTTAGCATCCCCTTCAGGTTTTAGTAAAATGATTTCCTGAATTAAAGGAAAAAACAAACAAATAAATCTTAAACCACATTCATATTACTTGGATATTACATAAGTTAGCTACTTCTAAACATTGTATTGGAATATAACTGCAGAGCCAATTTCAAAATTACCCTTGCATTTTCACAGGTGTCCCAAAGACATCGATACCTCCTTCATATTACTCATAATAAATTCTCGACAAACTTGTACAGATTGTATTCCTCATCTCCTCTTGATCTTTAACAGCCTTCAAATGAACTACATGCCAAGAAAACACTGGAGAGTCCTCTCTACGCCCTCCATTATTGATAGTGGAGAGTGAGGTAGCAAGGAACATCTGTATACACAGGATGAGACTATGGCTTCCAGGAACATGTACCATTTCTCATGTCAGTTCTTGTCTTTTGATCACCACATAATTCCTGTCCCTTGTTCTTCTTGTTCCTTCCTTTTTGTCAAATAATCAAGTTCTTCCCTTCTGGAAAAAACTACTCCAGATTCTACTTTCCTGAGAGTTAACTTGTGGATATAATGTCAGATGATTCCAATTACTTCATGAAGTCTTAGCGATTCTCACAGGCACCAATCCTTACAGGCCACTCTAAGGCCACTTATAGTGGTCACTTCTTGTCCATTGCCATTTCTTTCTCCATAGGTACTTCAATGAACATGACTTCTACTCCCCTGAGTTCCTATGTAAGCATACATGATTCTCTCTCCTGTGCTTTTAACTAGCAATATTTATTGACTCACCTCTTAGTTTAAAAAAAGCGAGGCCACAGGGCCCACCCTGGTGGCGCAACAAGTTAAAACACAGCACTATGAAGCTTTCCGAAGCCATTGCAGCATGAGTTCAATTACCAGCCAGGGAGGTGACCCACATGGTGTGGCAGACCTCTCCTGACCCACCCACTGCTCCCCTCAGCAGTGTATTTCAACAGCTCTGCCTGTTCTGCTCCCCACTCTGTCTCTGATAGATCCTCTCACCCCTACCCTGCACCTCTGGTCTGTACCCCAGTTCTTGTAAGTATAAAAAAATAAACCTTAAAAAAAAGTGAGGTCACAGGAGCTAGCAACATCCTTGTCTTCCTTGCCTATACAACCCACTCAGTATTAATAATTTAGGGACCATACCACCCCTTCAGATTTAACAGCCTTGACCTTGGCATTGCCCATGCTCTGTGAGCTGACATGTGATTTTTTACATCCTAGTGAACTCTCACCTACCGCAGCTCTGATTTATTGTCTTTATTTCAATTCTTTGCACTCTGTAAGAATGGACAGTAACTGGGCACTGATCTCACCAAGAGAGGAAGTACTTTCTCCCTTCCATATGCATTAAGATAGTTTTAGATCCATCACACAGCCCTTCTCTTTTGTAAGTTCAGTGATCTGAATTTCTTCAACCATTCTAACAGTGATCCTATTTTCCATTAAAAAAATAAATCTTTGCAGCTTTTCTCTAAATCTTTCAAAATTAGAGTTCACTCTAACCTCCAAAGTTTACTTTTACTGTTATACCTTTATTTTTTGGATTCTTTCCTCAAGTGGCATTTTGCCTTCAGATGAATTCAAAACCATAAGGGACTCTTTAATCTCTGTTATCCATTGAATTACATCATGTGCAAGATCATTAAAGCTTTGGTCTTCAGTAGGAGGTAATTTATCCTCTTCCTCAATTTCACATAATTGTCTCAATAATGTCTGGTATCTATCAATCAAATGTGTTGATTCTGTTAGTATTTCTTCTTCTTCTTCAGTAAACCCATGTTCCTTCAAGGAGTTGTTCAACTGAGCCATAGATTCAAACTGTTCCCTGTAAATTCCAAATATTCAAAGTTTATAGGAGCCTGGCATCATGCAAGAAACCACATCCCTCAAAATATATATCATACAAGACCAGCTATACCTCTTTCTAGTGAGAGCTTGGCAAAATAGCTCCGTTTTCTCTCCAGATTCTTCCATTTCTTTATAATTCTCTTCTTGATTAGTCAACCACATACTCAGGTTTCTTTGGTCATCCTGCAGTCTAAAAGGAAATAACACAGGTTAATATATGAAAAACAAAAAGTATCTGAAGAAAAGGTTGGCATGAATCTTGATGCCAAATGATTGTTACCGCTATTTTTGTCATTCTTTAAGGAAAATGTAATTTGTGACACTAAAATCTAAATAATAATAGTGTATACACTGAGGAATTCTATAAATCAATGAGCCATACAAATATACCAGAAAGAACAAGAAACAAATAGCAAACATCTCTAGACTCTCCCCTAAGCCTTTGCTATACTTAAATAATTTTAAAAACTCTCACACCTCTAACTTCCTAGAGTGCAAACAGGATTTGAAAGTATGGATATTATTTGTGAAATTGGCATATATTATATATCCCAAAGTCAGCTGTACTGAGGCACAGTACAAATTAAGATATAATTGGAAAACACTGTTTATGCCCATCCTGGTGGCACAGCTGGTTAAAGTGTAGTACTGCAAAGCTAGCTGCCACAGCTTCACTGCAAGTTCGATCCCTGCCCCGGATCGCAGCAGACCTCTCCTGACCCATCCGCTGCTCCCCTCAGCAGTGTCCATCAATCTGCCTGATCTGCTCCCCACTCTATCTCTGGTGAATCCTCTCAATTCCCCTGCACCTCTGGCCTGTATGCATAAATAAATCTTTTTAAAAAAAGAACTTTAAGAAAGAAAGAAAACATTATTTAGCTGTCACCTTATTTCCTACCTCAGTAGCTGCTGCAAGTGGTCATCAAGCTCCTTTGCTCGCACCTGGCATATGGACTCCAATTTTTCTAATTCAATTTCCTGACTTACTATCCAACTGTTAAGCTCCTTCACATGTGCTTTGGGCAGATGCTTCTTCACATGCTTCAATACAGTTCCCACTTGCTGTATTTCACTGCCTCTTGCTTCAAGAGTCAAGAAATCCTTAAGGAAAACAAAAATCAAATATATCCTCCTTGAAAATCTAAGTCTGGTCTGTCACCCCACTACACTTGTGCGAGCTGGTACAGAGACATGCCACCTGTTTAACACCCTACAAAAGAAGGGCTCTGGAGACATGGCTAAGTACAATGGCAAAAGATCAAGAGATGACTTAGATTAGTTCTGGAAGGTGGGCATTTACATCTAACTGACAGGAAACAGCAACCTTCACATGGTGAAGGTCAGTGGGAGACAGTGTATGCTGCATTTTCCAACTCTGGCTCTGAGCAACTTCTCCTAAATGTTTGCTCCTTTCTGGTAATCAATATAGTTACATACACTATACTTAATTTTGTCCAAATCTGAATTTTATTTCAATGTTATGCTTCAAAGTTTGAGCTTTGGGTGTGGGAGAGTCGGGGAGAAACTAAACTAAAAATATGAAATCCTTCATTGCAATGACCTGGAGGGACCTGGAGGTAATCCTGCTTAGCAAAATAAACCAGATAGAGCCAGACAGATGCTGTGTGATTTCATTCACATGTGGTATTTGGGGAAAACAAACTGATGAAATGAGTAAAACAAAAACAAAGTTTTGGACTACACGACCAAAGTTTATAGCTGTTACCAGAAGGGAAGAGGGTGGGTAAATTAAGAAAAGGGGACAATGGTTTGGTGAAGAACAGATTTGAACTATTGGCAGTGAACTTCACATAGCAATACATCACTCCCAGCGATGTGCACCTAAAACTTATATAATGTCATGCTGCAATGCTACTTCGATAAAAAATAAAATTTAAATGAATAAAAACAGCATCTTAGAATAGGTGTGAAAAAGCATTTGTTCAAGTCACTTGAACGCTTACCCACTAAATGCAGAATTACTTTGGGGAAACGTCAGGCTATTCGGAATATTACCTTTATGTAGGGAAATCAGTAAGTCAACTGATAGCTTATCTACTTCAAAAAGATTCTTTACCTCCAGGATCTTATTTTTGATAAACTTTGATTAAAATTTATGTATGTCTTACAGAAAGCTTTTGTAGCCTTTGTTCCACATCCATTTTGGTTTCTGGTGATTCGAAACACTCCTTAAGGTTCATTTTGATGTTGCTGAACCAGTCATTAAAGTTCTTGCACTGATCTACAGGAAATAGGAAAAAGAAAAACCATGTTCATTCAAGGAAGACTTCATACAGTTGGCTAAAGTGAGAGATTCTGAAATGTGCTCCCTAGGCCATGGGTACAAGGCGTCATGCAAAGTGGTAAAAAGCAGAAGCCTAAACCTCTTCTTCATGCATACTGGATGGTCAAAGCCTATTCACAGGCTGTAGCCAAAAGAGCAGATCAAATACCAGGTCCCTGGGGAACTTCCTTCATGAAATAGAGACTTGGGACTCAAAGGAAACAGATGTCATTTTTGACAGGCACAGATCAGTAAGTGCCTCTCTCTCCCCTCACAGATGTACCTGCATGTATTTCCTTAAATAATAGTATCTGCACAACCATCTCCAAGCGAAACTTAGATAAATTAGCCTTTGTGTTCACAGTCCTTATGCACCCAGAAATACAGTGAGAGGAACACCATACTCACCATTCAGTAACTTAGAAAAGTGATCCTGCAAAACACTTTTTTTGGTATTAAATAAATCACTGACACTTTCATATTGCTTTTTTAATTCAGAGAGTTCAGGAGTCAGACAACCTATTTGATTCTCAAGTAGTATCATACTGTGCTTTTGCTGTAGAATTTGCTGTTGTATCTCCTAAAGAAACAATTAGACAACAACCATTAGTCTTAAAATGAGCTGTTTACACAAAGCATTAGCTCTCAATTGCTTGTGTAAAAATCTAGATGGTTTTCTATTGAAAGTGAGTAGACTCACTTTCTTAGTCAGTAAATGTATTATGCATTATGATTTAATGTCAAATAATTACACCCACTGTACAATTTAAAGATGAAACTGCTAAATATGTAGTTTTTCTGAGTTTCCCAGGCTATCATTTTTTATAACTATTTTTATTAACCCTAAGAGACCAAGACCATCTGAATGAAGTGTGAAAATAAATCTGAACCACAGAAGAAAAGCAGCTGGGAAGTACCTCTAGCTTGGTAAATATCTCCAAGCTGTCAGAAGGAGAAAGGGCTTTTAAGAGGGACTCCGTCATTCCAATCCGGGTCTTTGCTTGATCAAGGTCCTCCTTTAGCTCAGCTGTGCTGCCACCAAGGGCGCAGCAGTTGGATTCTCCAATTAGAAGTGTCTTTATGTGTTCCATCTTCTTCAACATAGAGGATTCCATAACCTAAAGTCACGAATATATGAAGGACAGTAACGGACTTGATTTAGCTAGGTTTTAAGGTAACTCTAGAGAATGAGTTAAGACTGCATCACCTTAATGAAAAATGAACTCTTCTGTACTTCTAGTTCTTTATTGTTCTACATCTTTAATTAACAATGAGAATGCTGCCTTGAGTGACACACAGTAAGAAGAGAAAACTGACACGGACATTTGGACTTTTTTTCTCAGAGACTAATTTAAACTCTTGCCCCTAAAACAAGTTTTATCCAACATACCCAATGAAACATTATCTCATGGCCTTCACTGGAAAATAGATTAAAATATACAGAAAAAATATTAAGTATTTATTATTCATTATGTATACAGTGTCATGGTAAGCCTGTGCACTTTATCTACGAAACACAGGCTTAAGAAGGTTAAGTAACCTGCCCAGGCCTCAGAGCTGGTGAGAGCAGAGCCAAGACTCCAGCTGGGAAGTCTGAGCTAAAGGGCTCAGTCATCATGCATCTCCTTCTGAATAAACTGTGCCAGATCTTTTCACAGAAATTTACATTTGGCCAAATCTCTGTTCTCCACTAGCAATTTAGTAAGCCCGGGGTCACCTGAGTCATAGTCTCCTCCTGAGGGCCAAGACACTCATGAGGAACCCTTGTTACTTTACATGAAAGTGACACCAACCACACAAGTATGTGAAAGGAGTGAAATGAGAATAAGAACAGCAAATAATAAGATTCATTCTAAAGTGGCACAAGTATAATAAACCACACCAACTATTAAAATGCTTGGATCTAATATAGAAATTGAATGAAGATTAATTAAATTATACTGTTCATTTTATTTTAGGTTACTTGTGAGCATGACTTTAGATATATAACTTTAACTATGACTTTGAAATAAGAATTATCTTACCTGCAATTCAAGAGGTATTTCACTGCTTTGAAGCAGAAACTGTATCTTGGCCACTCTTTTAGAAAAATCTGAAGATTTCTGTTCGTGGGCTTGTAACTCTTCCTAAAACACATCATTTTAATAGAAAAATAGCTTTTTATTTTATACCTTAATTTCTGGTACCCACAATTGCTACTGTAAATATAGAGAAATAGAGCACTTGAATTTCCCCCTATCATTTGTTTTTTTAAAAGTCTTTAAAGCATAGTGCCTTCAGGGTCAGGCCAATGTTACACCAATGTTACAAGTCAGTGAAGCATCCTCACTATACAAGAGAAAAGGGCAAGAATGTATGCACAAGAATGCTTACAGAAGACATTACATTTCATAGATATGTACACATCAACCACACACAGAGGTGCAGGTTTTCCCATAAGGCCATTTTATCCTTGAATGGCTGGGGTGTCTATGAGGTCCAGATTAATAACACCTACTCACATACTCCTGGATATCACAAATGATACAACAGAGTTCAGGTCCTTCTCAAGGAACAATGAAAGAAACAGCAGATTTATTTGTGGTTTCTGTACCCCACTTCAATATAAAATACCTTCAGTTTTTCTCTTTCCTCTTCAGTTGGTGGAAATAATTTTATTTTTTGAAGAACCTTTTCAGTCCACTCATCAATGCCATTTTTCAAATTAAAAAGTTTTTCCCACAAGGCTAAAGCTCGACCAAGATTTTCACAGTAGTCTTCTGTCTTCTCATTTATCTATCATAATTACAAAAGTAGAAATAATACATTTACTGGTGAAAGGAATGAAATCCACTGTTTCAAACATTTTTTAAATAAAATTTTAGTTGATCTTTACTTGCTAAATAACTTGGTTTATTCATCAACAAACATTTGCTTTAATGTGTTATAGTTCTCCAATATTAAAATTTAGTTGATTCATTGCAGTTTACATGTAGATGAATTAGTCTTCCTAATTTCTTTTTTTTTTTTTTAATTTTTTTTTTAAGATTTATTTATTTGTTCATACAGAGCTGGGGTACAGGCCAGAGGCTCAGGGGCAGTGAGAGGCCTCACCAGAGACAGAGTGGGGAACAGAACAGGCAGATCTACGAAGTACACTGCTGAGGGGAGCAGTGGGCGGGCCAGGAGAGGTCTGCCACGCCATGTGGTCACCTCCGGGGCAGGCGGGGATCGAACTCATGTGGAAGTGGCTTTAGCTTCTCAGTGCTGTGCTTTAACCCGCTGCGCCACCAGGGAGGGCCAGTCTTCCTAATTTCTAAGCCACAATAAAAGGTGCTTTTAAAACCACAGATGAAAAATATAATAGACAAGTACTTAATTTGTAACATTGTTAGTAATAGAGCAATATCTGTGGCTGAAATTAGTTCCTAAGTCACAAACTTTATAATATTGAACATTTTTTTTTAAAGATTTATTTATTCATACAGAACTGGGGAATAGGCCAGAGATGCAGAGGGTGTGAGGATTCACCAGAGACAGAGTGGGGAGCAAAACAGGCAGATCGACGAAGTACATTGCTGAGGGGAGCAGCGGGTGGGTCAGGAGAGGTCTGCCGCAACATGTGGATCACCTCTGGGGCAGGTGGGGATCGAACTCATGAGCAAGTGGCTTAAGCTTCTTAGTGCTGTGCTTTAACCTGCTGCACCACCAGGGAGGGCCATAATATTGAACACTTTTGAATATTATAAATACATAAAAATTACAACAGAAGAGAAAGATGAATTTGTTATAAAATTTCTAGTCAACTATATTATCACTTACATCAAGCCATCTATCCACAATAATATTAGCTTCTTTCTCAAAAGGAGGCTCTTCAAATGTTCTCATTTTATTCAGATGAAATTGTAGATTTTTGCAGATCTGGTTAATCTTGTCTACAACTTCTAAATGTTCATTAAACTCTTCTTTGACAATTTCAATCTGTAAAAAGGGTATGAAATATTTTGATATATTGACATTGACAATATGTTAAAAACTGTAATTTTATTATTGGCTTTTATTATTCCACTTTTTTAATGTAAAGTATTTAGAGTCCTAACACCTGGTCTGACAATAATACTACACCCAAACTGCCTACCAATTGATCTCATAAAACATGGTGTAAAACCATGCTCTGGTTCATGTGAAACGATATTCCATCCACTATAAAACCCATCTCTACCACTACGTCTAACATGGAAATGTTAAACATTATTTTTTCAAAGCAAGTAATTTAACTTTTATACATGTATTTTTAACTTTTACATAGAACTGGGGTATAGGCCAGAGGTGCTGGGGGTGAGAAGATTCACCAGACTGGGGAGCAGAACAGGCAGATCCACTGAAATACACTGCTGAGGGGAGCAGCAGATGAGACAAGTGAGGTCTGCTGTGCCAAGTAGATTAGCTCCCTGGCTGGAAAAAGAACTCAGGACTTAGTAGAGGTAGGGTGACAGCGCTGAGACCTAACCCCTAGGCCACCAGGGAGGCCCGCAAAAAAACAATGATTTCAAACCACAAAATATAACTTGAGTATTAATTAATGTAATCTTAATATCTCACTCAATTTACTAATGTTACATGAGCATTCTACAGAATTATGTAACATTTGCAAATGCTTACTCCTTATAAGCATAAATCTGAATTGTATACTCAGAAGGACTTTCAATTCTGGGAATATGATTTAAACATACATTGCTCCCTAGTCTATCCACGAAAAACAACTAAAAACATTGTATGTCACATGTACAACAAAAGGCAGAGACGGAAAAGAACCAACTTTAAGAAGCTGGGTGGGGTTGCAGGAGGGTCAGCTCAGCTGGGGTTGAGTTCCCCGCATTTTCTTTTTCTTTCAGACTGTGTGCAGGAGAAGCCAGTACTGGCATATCAATGAGCATAGACATAAGAGCCCCCAACCTCGCCCAAAGCCTGCTGTCTTCTGCTAGACAACCAGGAATGGACAACTTAGCAAAACAGGCCATACCAAATACCTACCTCTTTGTACTGAGGTGAATATATACTATATACATACTAGCTTTTTTACATGCAAATAATTGTTGTTACACTGACACCAGTACTGCTGGATGAAAAAAAAGCAGGAGAAGGCACTTTTTGGAGTAATGAGAGCTGTGAGTTTGCTGGACAAAAGAATGGAAGGGGTAAAGGAACGCAGGCCACTCTTGACGTTTCCCAAACTGTAAGAGTCCCTGACATTCTAGCCTTCTAGTCACACTCTGTCTCTCACTGAAGAGAATGGAAATTTGGCACCACATTCTAGATAAATATTCAGGTTTCTCTGGTTTTGAAGGACAAATGTTCTCATCGGTATTATATTTCAGCCACTGGTATACAGCATCATGTCTATACACACTCCAGAAACTGTGTTTCTCAGAATAGTACCTAAGTCATCATCACATTCACTGAGTGTTATTTTAACAATCAGCACTACAATTTGCTTTTTTCAGACAGTTTAAAAAGCATCTAAGAACAGAAAATAACATATTTCAGCATATACACAAAAGTGCTCATAAGCAGACATCATACTAGGTACAGGAATCTGAACAGAATAAGAAATAAGAAAAACCTGGACTTTTATACATTTTTAAAGGTAGTTGTTAAAAAAATTAATAAAGGTAGTTGTTAATTTCTCAAATTTTTGAGAGCAAAACTTTAGTTGGTTGGTAAAGGGGTATGGACAAAGCAAAGTTAACCAAGTTTGACTTCTGCCATACATTTATTCCAAATAGGTTTTCAGGGAAGTCAACATTATAATGACTGAAATAAGACTGTAGTCAGTCAGACCTTGGCAGAAATGATTCAACCATTTATTATCTACATAACCTTGGGAGACTTACTCCACTCCCATGATTCTCCTATTTTTTATCTTTACTAATGAGCAGGATCAGATGTACACAAACTTCTGCATATGGATATAACTTCTTCTGCTTATATCCATAGATTGGCAGCACCCTGAGACCATTATAATGGTTTCTTTTCACATAAATTCAACATCCTAGGTCAACAGGTCAATATCTGAGCTACTCTGTGTGGATTCTGGGTCTGGAGGAGATAAAGGCCTCCCCACCAGTCTTCTGAAAGCATATAACTACTGTTATCTGAGGAATTTGCCTCAGGATAGTGCATACCTTAATTCTTCCCATATCTGAGTTAGATATTTTAGATTTATAGTTGATAACTGAAGCAAATTAAGACCTTGGGATGGAATGATGCCCTTTGCATGTGAGCAAAATAGGAATTTGGAGTGGAATGTTATGAATTAGGAGAACTGTCTCCCAAAATGAACAAAAAATTTCTGTAGTGTATAAATCACCCAGTCCATGGTATTTTTATTATAGCAGCCCAAGAGGACTATGCACACAGACATAAAAAGAGCAACTAATGATAGAAGAATAAGACCTGCACCTACATTCCCAACAGGGAGGCTTACCTAGGAGAGGGTACCTGTCTGTGGGTGAGAGAGGAAAGTTTGTTGGGTGGATAACCTGTCTGGACAACACAGTGAAGCCAATGGGTCTATGAATTATTGGCAAGATACTCAAGCAGCTGACAGGTGGGAGCTTTAAAGGCTGCACATTGGCCTCATGACTCACGCTCAAAATTCCCAGATGCTCTCTTCTGGGCACTTCACAGATCTGGGCACTTCAGAGATCTGGGCACTTTAGAGATGCTGCCTCACTCATTCTGAAAGGGGTAGCTTTCCTAAAGTTCCCACTTAAAAGGCCAAAGACTGGACATGGGGGCTGAGGAGGAGGGCCGCAAGTCCAGCACTGGTCACAGACCAGGCAGGGATATAGGGTCTGTGAATGAGCAGAGCCCCTAATTCTGAAATAAGATCACGAGGTGAGAAACCAGCATGAGAGACACAGTGGGAGAGAGGTTACGTGAACGGGGACACAAAATTGAGGGGATCTTATTATCTTAGAAACCACAGCTTCTGAATCCACTGGGTAAGGACAGGCTCCTCCAAGATCCAAAGACCCCAAGAGTGATCTTCAGCAGACAGAACCAGACAGGCTGCATCTGCTCACAGCCCTGGGGGCTCCCTCACTCAAGTCTCAGAGGAAAGGAGGTACAGATCACGTTTTACACAACTGCTGTCCAAACAGGTTTTTTTTTCTATCTAGTTAGTTCCTAGAAACTGAGTCTAAGAAAGTGGGTCACAGACAGGTGCCATTCCTCACCTGTGGCACAGACCCTGTGTCTGTCCCTTGGATGTCACTTCGGCTTCAGGACATAAGTTTTGAGAAAAAATAAATTTCTCAAAGACACTTGCCTACTTAAGCTGATCTAGCCCTCAAGTGGGAAGTTTAATACAATTGCTTTCTAACATCCAGGCGAAACCAACAGAACATATTTCACACACACTTATGACACTGACAGCATGTTAGCACAGTATCATAAAACCAACAGGAGAAAAAAAAAACTTAAAAAAAAATTTGGCTTGAGGAAGTAGTAACAAAATTAGTTACAGACTGAATTTTAAACTTTGGATTCATTTACAAAACATGAATTCAGAAATTAAAACGGCTAGTCCCTTAAAAAAATTGTTGATAAGCACTGTAATATAGACATTACTGGCATACACACTGAGCCTAAAATAAAACCACTTTAACACTAATGGGAGTTGGGACAGAGATATCTAAACATAAATACTTAAAATTACTTATGTTTCAGTACTTTTCTTCACCAGAAACATTATTCACTTTGAACTGAACTGTAACTAGAAAAGAAGCAGGACTTCTGACAGATTAAAAAAAAACACAACAAGAAGAGCAACTTTCTGGTGTACAGGTAGAAAATTCTTTCGTAATGATTTCATTCTTCTGTTACCCTGGTTGATAACCACATAAACATGCAGAAAATGATGACATCTAGTGTCCAAAAATATTATTTTTCTTAAAATGTGAAGTTGTGAACACAGGTAGAGCAAACTGGTCATTAGTTCACACACTGTTACTGGAAGCAAATAAAAACATAGTTTTCCCTTTGTCCACTAAAAGCAAAGGGTATTGCCTACTATCATCAGTATCATTAGTCTACAATGAAGCTTCAGGTTCCTTTTGGACAGAAGGTCAGTGCAAAGTCTATTGCAAACTCAGAGAGGGAGCCAATGTGGTCACAATGCCAGTGTTAAAACCCCTAAAAAAACAACCCAGAATCAAGTTGGGGGCTGTACAAGAAAATTTCTGCTGTTTATTTTTTAAGTCCTGCTGATAAATTCAGTAAATTCTTACCTAACTTGTACACTAGAATCACTAATAATTGAGTTTATACTAAGTTTTGAAAATTACACCATTTATAATATCCTCTTTGGGTGGAGTCACAGGTGAGGTGTGGTACAGAGTTCCTTCTGGGCTCACCTCTGCTATCCTTTTTTTCAGGTTCTCCTTTCCCATATACGAAGCCTGAAGGGAGATGACATTCTCTTCTTTTTGAATCAAAGTTGTCAAGACACTTTTAAAATTCTGATATTGTTTTAAGAGCTCCAAAACTCTTTCACATTGGTCAAGGCTATAAAGAGAAAGAAAATGTAAAACAAACATCTGGAAATAACAAAACTATTCTACAATGATGACTAATGGGTCATAAGGGATTTTTCCTTTTGATGTGGTTGGTGGTATTGTTTTCATTATTTTAACTTAAGAATGATGGTAAATACATTTATCTGGTGAATGCATGATACAAATAATCCCCGGATTACTATTTTCACCAGGTCAAACATTTGAAGTTGCCAGATATAAGCTCCAAAAAGAAACATAGCATTCATAACCCTAAGGAGTCAATATATCAATTTTATCTTTCAATTGAAAGACATCCTGGAAAACAATGTCTCCCTCATATCCTTGGCAGTATTTCAACATTAATTCAGCAATTCACAGGCTGTTTATGGGAACATCTATCTAATTTATTCTAGATTTAGCTCTTTTGAAAAAGTAAATTAGTGCAGGTGAAAGTTAGGACCACGGTTTCTAGTTACAGCTAAATAGTGATGTAACCTAATTAGTTACTTTCGCCTCATTGGACCTCAATTCTTTCCTTTCTAAAACAGAAGCATAGACTAAACCAAAGCCCATAGACAGGCTATATCTTGACTATTGAACAATTAGGTTGGAGGACTTAGGAGTATAGTCAGATGGAGTTCCATGGTAACAGGGTCACAGAGGGAGAGCAGAATTAAGGGGCACTGCCCAGGAGCTGAAGCACCCAGGGAGTAAGTACTTCTAGAGAAAAGAGGGCAAAGTGCCCTGTGCCAAAAAAGAGGCAGTAGGAGCTGTTGAAATCAGGTGCTACCAAGGTGCAGCGTGGTCAGAAACACACTGACCTCTCACTCTTCCTGTTGATAATCTGCTAGTATCTCCCACTTTCTAACCACGCTGGCCTAATCCACACATGGCCTCGGTGGTGCGCTCTGTGGAAATCATCCCTCCTAACCACTCCTACCCCAGGCAAAATGTAAGGGGAACATGGTAAGAATGGAGAATATTCAGCAGAATTGCCAACTGGGACTGATGAAGTAATAGCTGCCCCATAGCTGAGAAAAACTTAGGATCCTTGTTCATGCTCTGTAGGAAAGATGGCAACTATATTTTGACATCCCAGATCTGCCACTCAAATAGGATGATGCTGTTAGAATAGTGTTCCAACACCAACATCCTCACTCTGGGATCCTATTAATATGTTACCTTAAATAACAAAAGGAACTCTGCAGTAGTGGTTAAGTCCAAGATCTTAAAATGTGGTGACTGTCCTGAACTATTTATTATGTGGCACAAAATAATCACAAGGGTTCTTACATGAGGATCAGAGTTAGTATGAGATGTGACAGCAAGAACAGAAGTGAGACAGAGATTGAGACCGGACAGCGTTACACTGGCTTAAAGATGGTGGGGAAGACGAGCCAAGGAAAGTAGTAGGGGGCCTTTAAAAGATGGAAAGGCAAGGAAACAAATTCCCTCCTACAGTCTCCAGGAAGGAATGCAGCTTGATTTTTAGGATTCCCATCCTGCAGACTGTAGATCAGTTGTGCTGTTTGTAAGTTACTGACTTTGTGGTGATTTCTTTTAGAAGTAATAGGACATTAATACAGATGGGAAGGTGATGACCACTACTGTGTATTTGTTACCCTTCCTAGATAATCTCTTAAATTCACCCCAGCTATCATCTACGATGCCAGGTCTTGTCCTAGACATTGGCCGAAAGATGTTCCAGGGTAAAACTCATGTTTCCCCTCTGTTAGGTCCATGGGGATATGTTTCCAACATACAAATTTCCTAAGATTAATTGTAATACAATTTTTCAGGTATGGGAGGGACTTTTTTTCCTTACCTTTCAGTGATGGAAGCTTTCGTGTTCTCCCATTGGAGTGCTGTATTTTGGAACTGCTGAATCAGTGCTTGCTCTCTGCCATCTTCAAATTGTGGAAGAGAAGCAGCCATTTCTTGCAAGTATTTCCACTCTTCTTCATATTCATCTAGATCCTTATCCAATCTAATTAATGATTTTTTCCTTGATTATGAAGGAGAAAGGTAGCTAATTACTAGTCCAAACTGATACAACACAAATACAGATAACTAGGGGAGCACACTGCTTTTAACTTGTCCTCATGAGGTTTATCCTGAAATTACATGTTTCTAATACAGAATTCAGAAGATTCTTTGCATTTCCACAATACTAATATGGTGTTGTAAATATAACATACACATCTCCACAGGCAGTAACAATTCTCTATAATGAATACACTTGAAAAGATCTATATAAGGGCCCTCACTGGTGGGAGGGTTAAAATATAGCACCATGAAGCTAGCCACAATTGTTTCAGCATGAGTTTGATCCCCAGCCAGGGGTGACCCATATGGTGCAGCAGACCTCTCCTGTCTCACCCGCTGCTACCCTCTGCAATGTACTTTGTTGATCTGCCTATTCTGCTCTCACTCTGTCACTAGTGAATTCTCTCACTGCCCCTGTATCTCTGGCCAGTACCCCAGTTCTGTATGCATAAATAAATCTTTTTTTAAAAAAAGATGTATATAGGAGTGTGAGATAAAAGATAAAGAGTATATATGTGCATATGCATGCAGAAGAGAGCATACTACAAAGAGAAAAAGAGCTGGATGGTGGAGAGGCAGAACAGGCAGGAACAGAAGGGAAATCTTGCACTTCTCCCTGGGTACAAGTTTTCCCCTATCAAAAAGAAGTCATTTGAATGAAGGATATTAACCTACAAACTCTTTCTGGTGGTATTAGATCAATTCATGTGGGTCTACATTGCTTTTTTTTTCCCCTGGTACTATCTCTACTGACTCTCTTCCAATTCTCTCTGGCATCCATTTTCATAAGACTTTATCTCCCAACATATTTCCAATGGAGTACACAGTATGGACCTCCTCTCTTAACCAAATAAATTCTCCTTTAGCAATCTTACCCATCTCATGGCTCTAGAGAGCAAGCCAATGTGCTGATGAGCCTCCCTGGTGGCACAGAGGTTGAAGTCAGAGCTACCAATGTGCTGATGACCCTCAAGTGTGTACCACTAGTCCCTACTTCTCTCCTAACTTCCAATACGACCTAATTTTAAAAGTCTTACTGGTATTGCAACTTCAGTGTCAAACTGCTATTTGGAACCTATCATTTCTAAAACATCTAATGTTTCATTCAACGCCTTATTCAAACCATCTTTCTCACCTCAGTTAATGGTTACTGAATTTTTCATGTTGTTTAGGTCAAACCTGGAAATCATTCTTGATTCCTGTGTTTCTTGGACACTCCAAGTACAATGCATTCATGAACCTTATAGATTCTATCTTCAAATATATACAGAATCTTCCTGACCCATGCCACCATGTCCCCACACAGGTGGGGACACATAGGTCAGACTAACCACCTATGTCTTCCCTTGATTCCTATAGTCCATCCTTAACACACTAGTCAGAGACAACTGTTAAAGTGAAAATCAAGTAATTTCCCTCCAATTAGAACCCTCTGATGATTTCCCATTTCAATTAAAAAGAAAAAAAATCACATGATCCATAGTCCTTATAGGAACTAAATTGAATCTCCTGGTAGCTCTCTGACCCCCTTTCATACCTCTTCCCCAGACACTAACCTTCTCACTCTCTTGGCTCTTCTCAAACTTTCCAGGTCCAATCCTACACTAGTCTCTGTACCTCCTTGTCCCTCAGATTGCACAACTTTTCTTACCGGCAGTCACTTGGCTGACTTTCTCATCTCTTCCTACTCTAAGATCACCTGTCTCTGGTGATCCTAGAAACTGCAACCCTCTTCTTTCCTTGTTCATTTTTTTCTCCATAGCTTTTATCACTATCAAACATAGTGAAAATCCTACTCCATCCCATAAACAATACGTTCTACAAAGGGCAAAAATTGTTGACTGTTAGTTACCAATGGCTCTCCCCTCACTACCTAAAGCAGTGCCTCACACACAATACTCACTGGTTCTAGTAATACTTAAAATGAAATTTAAAACAGCTTGTTATTTATAAATGTGTGATATTTCATTTATAAATTAACAGTTTGTGCTTTATAAATCTCAAATAAAAATTCATTGGAAGTGAAATTTATAACTAAATTAGTAATTAGTTCAACACCCTTGGTGAACTTGGGCACTGTGAAAATGAAAGCTTTACTGACATTTACTTAGGGAAACGTCAATGGGAAGGGCTGCATCAGACAACGAACCTCAAGAGGGTGTTATGTGTGAGAGACTAGCATGGAGAGGAAGGGACAGAAAGTGGATGAGATTTAGAGAGAAGGGAAATCCTGAAAAGTGACTCCTGTTAACATTTCACGTTCAGAATATGGAGGTAGAATCTGAATGCCAGAATTAAAACAAACTCAGTTTCTCAACTCTGCTCATCTCCAAACTAATATGAATTTTAGCATATCTCTTAAACTCAGTGCCCACCTCTAATCTCACTGGGAGTTGAGGAGATCCAGTCATGAGGAAAGAAGCAGAGATAAGACATGGCACGTGTACTTTAAAGGAAAAAAAAACTATACAAGATGTAAAATCACATTATCAATGAAAAGAGCATTAGTATGAATAGCCTACAGAAATAACTACTGAACACGAAATAGTGTGGGATGGGACAGAAGCAGAAAGACACAGGAAAGTTTACTTACTTGTCACTTCATAGATACTTGAAACACAGGAAGAGTCAGCTCACATGGAATCGAGACAAATGGCACTTACCGTTGTTTTACAGCTGGAGCTGTTGGGTCCTTCAGACCAATTTTACTGATTTGATTGTATACATCTTGAATGTTTTTCAGAAGCTCATTATTTTTGAAAATACAAATCTCTAGTAGTTTGTCTTCAGAGAGTTCTTCCTGTAAGCCATAGCCACGTGTCTCAAATAATTGCTCAGACAAAGCATTAAGAAGCTTTTCACAGGAGCTGTCTTCACCCTGCTCAGCATCTTTAAAGCTTACACCAAGCATCTTCAAGTGTTTATCCAAATGCCTGGCCTTGTGTTTCAAGTGATGAATCTCTCCCTCTTTTTCTGTTGAAGTATTTTCCAGCTCCCCTTGTGTCTCTGAGGCTGAAAGGTCTGTAGCAAGCTCAACTGAGTTTTTAGTTGTTCTCAGAGAGGCCAAAAACTCTTCCAAAGCTTTGATGGCATCCTGCGTCATCTGCACTCTGTGAAGTACTTCTTCAAGCTGTGTTCTGTGTTTTACTAGAATATTCTGTGTTGCCTGTAGATCAAGTGGCTGCAACTCCATCAGTGCTAAGTTGCCTGATTGTTCCAAACTGTTACATCTTTCAATCTGTTTTGCTATGAAATCTTGGATATTCTGAAATAAAGGAAAGTATCATTATCTGATACTCTTCCTGAGGTTTCAATCCCCCCAGAAACTAAATATGTAAGTCTATTGCTTTAGGGGGGTGGGTAATGAGAGATTGAACTGAGACAGCTAACATTTTATAATCTGGAAAATAAGACTCAAATACTGTGTATTTAAGATGGGACTTGAAATAAACAAAATGGAATATGCCAATGTAAGCACAAGAGTCTAGTATGTATTTAAGATTTCAGTCATTAGAGAAGGCATTCATAAGCTAGCTTTCATTTTGAATTAAATTCCTCATTATTTATATTTACTTCATGGTTACCTACTTCCATGTTTGCAAGGAATTAAAAGGAGAAAAGTAAATAATAAACCTTAACTATTGAAGATTTTTCAACCATGGCTTATATTTCAAAATATTAACATATAATTAAAATCTATAAATGTGTAAATCTCTGAATACTTGATAATTCTATAAATTGCTATGAGAACTTATTTACCCTCAAGTTTTGATAAAAGGCACTGGCATTGGCCAGGTGAAATTCCTGAACAGCCATTTCATGAAGGAGCAGGTCTGAGCCACAGAGATGAAGACATTCTTTCTCTACAGGTAACACAATCTTCAGTGCTGTCTCCAAAGACTTCATTCTGAGTATGTGGCATAAGGAAAACACAGAGCACAAAGACATCTTGTAAATAACATCAATTCATAACAGAAAATAATTATCTAATAAGAGAGCCTATGATAACATATACAGGTCATCACATTAAAACCCAAAGCCAACAATCCATAGTGCAAAGAATTTGTATGCTATTTCCAAGTATCCTTAAACATTTACTAGATACCACAATGGAAAATTGAGAAATATGCTGAGCCTCTCCCTCTCTCCTGAATGTAATTTAATATGGAATGTAATTTAACTTTGCCTTGATACAAAGAAAACTCATTATGAACACTAATGACTTGATTAGAGAAATATAACAGGGTTTACAGAAAATGGTCTACTGACAGTAAGATAAAAGGTATGGGACCTGGATACATAACTCAGAAACCCAGGGCTGCAGTGTATTGCTCTATAAAATGAAGGGGTCGGGGGAAGGGCAGAGTATGAACTAGAAATACATCACAGCACTCTCAATTCAGAAATGAGGAAATCTAGGTCTAGAGAAGTGTTGTAAGATGGCCAAGGGGAAAAAGTGGGAAGAACTCAAGAAACTAAGTTCCACTGAAGTCTCTGGTCAGTAGTGAGGCTTAATTATATCCAGGAGATACTCAACCTCCTGGACTATCAGTTTCCTCATCAGCAAAATACAATCAAATGGTAGTCTCTCTCGAAGCTGTTGTGACAACTGAATACAGTGACATGTTTATTATAGCACTACCTTAACTTAAAATGTCCCATCCCACACTATTTCAGTAAATTTTCCTGTTCTCCCCACTCAGTCTCTGGTGAATACTCTTATTCCTCACACCTCTGGCCTATACCCAAGTTCTTGTATGCATAAATAAATAAAAATAAATCTTTAAAAAACCGAGTAATTTCTTGATAATAGATCTCAGAATCATACCTGGTATTCAGCATCTCCTGCAGCTCTCGCTCTTTTTCCTTTAATTTGTCCCTTGTTTTAACCAAGAAAGACTTGTTTATATCACTCACAAGCTCTTCTGACTTCAGTGAAGCGATTTCAAACTTTTTCAAGTAAGCATTGGTTTCATCTTTTAACACCTGTGTGAAACAAATTAACTTATCCACTAGTGGGTTAACTGGCACACTTACATGATACGACATCCACCAACTAAGGACACCAAGTCTCACATGAAAATATATTAAGAAATATTTTCCAATCATCTACAAGGGCTTAAGTATCCTCCTGGGAACCATGGTAACATATTAATAGTAATAATGTATTCACTAGTCAGTGATACATTATTCAGTAATACATGAATACTAATAAGCAATACCAATAATAATGTTTAACTGCACTATTCATTGAAGTCAAGGGATTTGACAATGTGGATTTCTAAGGAATCCAAGTGCCCTCTCCCTACGTTAGGTGCACAGAATACAATTCAGAAAAACACATATAGGTCTGAGAACTGATGCTCTATTTCCTCTAGGTAATAAATCTTTTTTTCACCCTAAACTGAAAGAAAATTGGGCTGAACCAAAACAGTTTCCAACCAATGAGATATGAATGAAATAACTTATGATTTATAACTATACATTTAAAAAGACCTTATAGTAGCTCTTTTTTTTTTCTCTTTAAATGCCACTGCGACAGTCTCCTACCAAGTGCTCACCACTATAATTTGTTCTCACTCCCTCAAGAATTGGTAGAGCTTAAACAACTCATCATTCAGTCACAGCAGTAAGGTCCCAAGACAATTTCTTAATTGTGATAAAAACATGCTGAATCTATCACCTGAACAATGGAGATTTTAACATGAAATTTGCTTATTCAGTGGAAAATAGAGAGGTGCCAGATGGTTGAGTGTGACTCAGGAACTGGCATCATTAAAGGCAGACAATTAGGAAATATGGGAGGGCAATGTAGGAACCATCTATGACCCTTTCTCCATTCAAAGAGTTCATGCCAATCTGTTCCAAACATATGACAAACGTGCTGCCCTACAACATGGATCATCTTCCAAATAAGAAAGGTATTTATTTGAAGAGCTTATCATTGGTGTGTCCACCGCTGATTGCTTTTTGTGTAGGTCCTGAATCTAAAGCAATACTCCTTCAATGGCTCTCAAGAGGATCAACAATCACTTAGCATGAAAGACTCCCACCACTTCCAGCCCTGTCCTTTCTTATTTTCCAATATCAATGCAATAAACTGGTCAAAATGAATGACCAAATCAAATATTGAGTCACTAGATTTTCAGAGCAGCAAAGAAGCAGTGTTTTTTGCAAATGGATTCAAACCCATTATTTTGACCAATTCATTTAAAATCTCATCTCCATCCCAAGAACAATCCAAATCTCTGAAAATCACATATTTAATGTATCAAATTAAGGCACGAGCAATAAATGAGATATCTGGTCTAAGTCTTGCCTGAGCTTGGAACTTGAACACAAGTCACTTCCTGGAATAGAGTGACATTATAAGTGCAATATACCAAAAAGAATTCTTTGGAAATGCTGAGGATACATGATTCAGCAAAAATGGAGGTGTCAAATAAAGGAGTAAGCAGAAATAATATTTTGAATAATTACCTGCAAATCTGTGAGTTTATCCTGGAAACAAGCACTACTTCTTTCCTTGTCACTAGGGAAAGCAGAATTAATTCTGAATTTGTTGTTTTCAAGATGAACGGCAAGTGTTTCTCTGTGCACATCATACCTGGAAATTTAATGCAAGATTTCTCAATTTTTTTTTTAAGATTTATTTATTTATTCATACAGAACTGGGGTACAGGCCAGAGATGCGGAGGGTGAGAGGATTCACCAGAGACAGAGTAGGGAGCAGAACAGGCAGATCAATGAAGTACACTGCTGAGGGGAGCAGCAGGCGAGTCAGGAGAGGTCATGTGGATCTCCTCCGGGGCCGGTGGGGATCAAACTCATGCAGAAGTGGCTTAAGCTTCTTATTGCAGTGCTTTAACCCACTGCGCCACCAGGGAGGGCCCAACATTTCTCAATTTTAAAGACCCCAAAATGTTTAAAACTGCTAATTGTGCATGAGGAAATCTCAGTATTTTTTTTTTAAGATTTATTTATTTATGCACACAGAGCTGGGGTACAGGCCAAAGGTGCAAGGGCAGTGAAAGGATTCACCAGAGACAGAGTGGGAAACAGAACAAGCTGACTGATGAAGTACACTGCTGAGGGGAGCAGCAGGTGGGCCAGGAGAGGTCTGCCGCCCCACGTCCAGGGCAGAGATTGAGCTTAGGCTGAAGTGGCTTTAGCTTGTTAGTGCTGTGCTTTACCATGCTGCAACACCAGGGAGAACCCTCAGGGTATTTTAAAGTTACTGATAATATACAAAAATTATGACTAAAGGATCATAAAAACTTATCATAAAAACATATTTGTGTTCAAAAAATTTGGGTTATTTTTTCCAGTTGTTTGAAGTGTTTACCTTTCTAGTAAACTACTTATGGATGCACTGTGATCCTTTTCATACTTCATAATGTTCTTTTCCTGTTGAGGCATTAATTCTGACTCCAGGCCAAGAGTCTTAGATTCCATTGCCTAGCAAATATGCAACAGTAAACATATTATCTTCATTATATTCAAACATTGCAAAAAGATCAACATGTTATTATACAAAAGTGTACCAATGATTCTATCTACCTCAAAGTAAGAAATAATATAATTTATTTCAGGTTTCTCAGCTCAGAGAAAGGCCTGCTCATAGATAGGACAGAGGGGATGCATGTTTGGTGTCAGCAGGAAAGCCCTACCCCTCAGTGTGGTTTCTGCTACAACCCCAAAGCCAGAGTTAAAGTACAGAAGCCCAAGACGCAGGAGCAGACCTCTGAAAACAAAAACACCTCCTTCCTTCCTCACCTCTTTGACTGGCAGTCTGAGCTATGCTATTCAGTCAGTGTACTTAAATAGAATTCAAGAATTTAGAAATTTCCAAGGCAAGTACAAGACATTAAAATCTGAAAAAGGCAAACGAAACATGAAGCAGTCCAGCTCAGGGCAGCTGAGGCAACTGCATAGGTGAAACACAACATCTTGTGCCCTCAATAGTACGACTCCAGAACATGTGAATTCATAATGGATCTAAATGCCTCTTTTTGAAAAAACAATCTGTATCCTCAAAAGAAAGTGAAGTTATGCTATAGTTTTAGTTACTTACATATTTTTTAAATTCTTTTAAAAGCAGTGTTCCTTGCCTTATTTAAGTGAGAATTCTCAACTGATGGAAACAATCAGCTCATTAAAACCAACAATCAAAGAATGAAATGTGTGCTAGTGAACATCTGGCCTCCTTCACTGGTTTTACTTCTAAACTACAATGTCCACACAGAACACCTTTTCGGGGGGTGGCTGATGAAGGGTCTCAGCAGAGGGCTCCTCACTGCAGGCACCACTTCCTCCATTCTCAGATGTGTTCACCGACCCCCTGAAGAAGGAATCAAAATTGCCTGTTAACACAGAGAGGAAAATGAAGCCTCGAGGAATAATATTCAATGCGTTGTAGTTTGCAAGAGGCTTTGTGGCCTTCTCCCAAAGCTGTGTCTCTACGAAAGCACGCACTTGTTCTTCGATGTGCCTCCCACCACGGACTGCAGCATCCCGTGAACCTCTAAGGCGCACCTCCGCAGTTTTGCTATTCTTTGTTCATAGTCTCTGAGCGCCCGCCTCACTTCTTGCTGACTGTCCTGTGAAGCCAGCTCCTCACATAGCTCCCGCAGGACTGCCATGTGGTGATCAAGCTGGGACAGACTGCCTTCCTCAGAAAAGCAGGCCTAAAGGAGGCGAGAAAGCAGGAAATATTTCGTGATTAGTCCGTAAGGATTACAGGCTAACAGAGGTGTGACATGCAACACCTCCTTTTACAGGTCATCCGCTGTGTGTCCAGCATAGTAATGGCAGCTGGAGAGACAAAATGAGGAAGTCAGTCCTTAAAGAAGTCACCATGATCCAACTATAGGGTGAAGAAAACCAGAATGTCTCCCAAAAAAACATGCCTTTGATACCAAAATTACTGTGAGGTAAGCAAATAAGATACACCTACAAATTTTGACTTAAAACTGTGTATTATAACCTAAATAAATCCATGTTGCCACAATAAAAATAAAGAACAAACACAGAAAAGGATAAGTTCCCCCTTTTCTGCCTAAATGGTTTCCTTTTATTGGCGACAGACATCAGCCTAGAGAAGGCGCCAGAGGAACCCGCAAATAAACCCTTGCAACTTCTTTTCCTGGTTACATGTTCTCTATTTATTATTCTTAACTCTAACCCCTGTGTCCTGTGAATTCTTCACACATTTACTGATTGTTTAAAAGGCATAAAAACTTCCTGTTCTTGTTTTGTGAGGCTCACTTGACTTCTTGTGAGATTCTCGTGTACATGCATGTATGCAATAAAATTTATATGCTATTCTCCTGTTAATATGTACTGTCAGACCCAGCTAGGGACCCTCAGAGGTCAAGACAAACTTCTCCCACCCTCACAGTGGCCACACAAATAAATGAGCTTTGAGCGTAAGGAGTGTTGTGACTAAGAAGTCACAGAAAGCTTACTGCACCTGGGGGCACCTGTGCTTGATGCAGAAAGAACACATCCAGGTGCTCCATGCAAAAGGGGCCATGCCTAGCAAGAGGAACAACCAGAAGAAGAAGAGCCCCAGAGGACATGCAAGGACAGGCAGTCCATTGTAGCTGAGGGCCAGCACAGGAGATGGGAAGCTGATGGAATATCTGGGATCGAGACTGGGAAGGACTGAGCAGCCCTCGAAGGGGCCTAGACATGGGGGGGGGGGGAGCAGCAGTAAGCCAGAAACATAGGATTCAGGGCTGGTGGTACAACACCTACATTTGTAGAGGCATGAACCTTTACCCCTAATGCATATGCAGTATTGCAAACCATTATCACAATAAACATGGCCATTAAATTTAATTTTAAAAGGAAACGTTGGTGGTGGGTCTGGAAGACAAGCAACCTTGGTCACACCAAGAAAGTAGCCCAGGCTAAAGGAAGTAAAAACACCAACGGAGAGGGAGAAAAAGCAGCATCTGTTCTGAAGAGGAACAGATCGAACTTGGCTTCCGACTCCATTAAAGCCACCAGGAAAGGAGGTTTGGAGGGGAGGAAGACTGCTGGAGACTGCAATGCCTTTCCCCACTGGAGTGTGTGAGAGGAGGAAGTCTGGGAGGAGACATGGCTGGTTTTAGATATGCTTATTAGTGTGAGTTCTCTGAAGCACAATGGTGACATCCAGGAGTCAGTTAGAAATAGAAGCTGTCATACAAGGAATAGGGCTCACCTGGAGGAGATTTAGGCACTAGCACTGCAGAGAGTACAGTTAAATCTGCAGAGGGCAGAGAACCACCCAGAGGAAGCAAGAAATAAGCCAAAATAAGGGACCCCGAAACTAAAAACATTAACATAGTAAAAGGGAAATGCATGAAGGGCACTAAAAAGAAACCACCCTCCTGCAAAAAAAATAAATAAATAAAAGGAAAAGCAAGAGAGAGTGATACTGAAAGAGGAGAAAGTCTAAAAGAAAAAAGAGCGATTAATGCTGTCAAGTACTAGAGACAAACAGGGTAAGGACCAAAAAGAAATTTTTAGATTTGCTCAGAGAGCTTCTGTCTGATTTGTTATCTCTCTCAAAAGATGCTCTTCTGGGGACACTATATCCTCATCAAAGCAACTGAGGGAATGTCACAACAGGCAACATGCTGCTAGTCTTGAAGATAGGAGCGACTGGGACCTATTAAGGGAAATCATAAAATATTAATTCAGTGCTGAGTTTTTCTCATTTCCAACAAAGCAAGAAGGACAGGCGCTAGTTAAGTGAACTGCATAAGAGAGAATTCCCAGGGCACTAGAGGGCAGCAGTAATTTCCAAGGCAGATTTAACCATAAAGACCATATACAATCACTTAGGAATCAAATTCCAAATAACAATTTTTAAATGAAAAGAGGCTATTTACCTCATGTTCCTTGATGAGACCCTTGGTCCTGCCTCTGCGGATTAGTTTCTTCTCCTTATTTATTTGCTTTTCCAGCTTCGAAATGCTGTCACTAAGTTTTCCTTTTTCAATATCTATATTTAGTTGTTGAAAATACAAAGACATTTCATGATGAAGAGGCTGCAGTGAAAACAAAGGCACAGATTAGCCACTGGGACAGAACATATTGAAAAAAAGTGTTGACTAAAAACACAATGAAAATATTTGTAGCACCAAAGAACTGGAGGCGCAGAGCTTAAATGAAGTTTGATTCATGCTTGTTTGTCTATGCTTTAAAATATACCAGACTCATTTTTTTTTCTTTCTAGCAACATGTGTTTTCAGTTGTGAAAGACACTGTTAAGAGAATCAAAAGACAAGGTGCAGCCTGGAAGAAAACAGCTGCAAAATGCATATGGGAACTTATGGAGGCAAAACATGTAAATATGTGTGCACTGGTTGGGATTCTGGAACAGACAAAGGACATTCGGAGAAAATGGAAGATACAAATAAAGAATAAGTGTTAGCTGATAATGTATCAATATCTGACCACTGACTGCAACAAAAGCACTATATTAATATAAGGTATCAGTAACAGGGGAGTCACAAATCCTATTACACTACTGCAGATTTGATGGTGCTACTCCCATTTTTTAAGAGAAGCTCCTATAAGCTGAGCAACTTGTGCAGGGTCATAGCTGCCCAGTGAGACCTGCCTGCCACCAATGCCTATACCTACATTTCACTGAGAAACTGTGCACATGTGTCAAGATATTTTCTCAGTCAGGGTCCAATTAGGAAAGCAGTAAGTATCTAAGGCAGAGAGAATTAAGTGTAGAGAGTTGGTTATATAAGTGATTAAAAAAACAAACAAACAAAACAGAGAAAGCCAAGGGAGGACTGCAGAGATTAGCACTGGTCGGAAGTTGCTCTCGCCTGGGCAGCAGGGTCAGTCCTCAGAAGCAGGTCCATGGAACCCACAACCAGGGAGAGCAGCTGCCGGAGATGTCTGAGAGAGAAAACCTTTGGACTCCCCCTTTGCTCCCTTTCAGCTATCCTCTATCAATGAACAGTGCTGTCACTGGATGATCGCAGAGCCAGCTGATGCCGGGCTCTGGGACCACCGTCTGCAGGGACCAGCAGCTCTGGGGCACACATAGATGGGGAGACGCCAGGAACGCCTCTGATGATAAGCAGGTCCAGGGTCAGATCTGTGAGCATCAGCCCCAATACACATGCTTATTCTTACCTCCCACTTGGCACAGACATCTCTGCTCTTTGCTTCCAAAGACAGTTTTGCTTCCTCGGTTTCATTATTTTTCAGTTCTTCAACAGCTTTCAAGTATTTGGTCAGACTTTTAGTATTAAAAATGGCTATTGCTTCCTAAGGGAAAAAATACAAATAAGAACATGGAAGAGCCATTCTACTGCCAAATCCTCAAAGCTAATTTTTGGTAGGTCTTTAACAGGCAGAACTGTGAAGGGAATAGGTAGACTACCTAAAGATTCTGGGAAGACTTCTTTTTGTAAATTAAGGTAGATATCCTTTTTGCATCCCTTGAAATCTTTTCAAAAGGATGGAAAATATTTATTATTTAAATGTAATTATTACACATTTGAGGTCCAGATAAGATATATTCACAATGATACAATATTTAAAGTGATTTTGGTACACCTCTGATAGATAAATAAAAGGCTTATTATAGATAAGCCACTGACAATATTTCCTCTAAAGCTCCTAACTACTGAGCAGATACCCATATTTTGTAAGCAATACAGTATCAACAGTATACCTGCACATATTGTTGAGTAACGTTACAATAAGACAAATTTATACTAAGGTTAACAAGGCGAATATTGAACATTGTGCACAAGCATTTTTATGCTACAAGAAGATAATACAATCTATCAACTGCAAAGTTTTACCTAGGACCTGGCACAGGGGAGGAGCAGCAGGGAAGGTGAAACTGCCTGCAGGAATGTGCTTGTGCCTCACCTCATCCTACCTGCTCTTACTATTACCTGGCACTAGTCTGAGGGCAGAAACCTGGCTTATGCTCTGCAAATGTCAGAACCAAAAGTAGTTTAAGCCTGTGACAAAGGCAGAAAATCTGCAGGAGACAAAAAAATGAATAATAGTTAAACTGTATGAAAATCCATCCCTACACTCGTTATGTATTTATTAGGGGCCCTCAGAGGAGAGACAGATGCAGCACTGAGCCCCAGGGACCTGCTCCAAGGTCCCAGGGGGAATGCTAAATGTATGACCAGGGAAACACTGTACCCCGCATGCTAAATGTATGACCAGGGAAACACTGTACCCCGCATGCTGGTGGGGAGCTCCCACAGCTCATGTGCTTCTCTGGATCCTGTGGGTCTTGGGGTAAAGATTTTGCTAATGTTGTTAAAAACAAATCTATTTCACTAAGTGCCTGAGAAAAAGATGAAACTCCTGGCCACAGATTTTATTTTTTAGATTAATTAACTTTTTTACATTGTTATTTTGGGACAGTATGTGATTTCTCCCCTCAGGTGTGGTCCCTGTGGGCCTCCTACCACCACAGCACCTGTGATCATCACCACAGTCCCTTATGATCCTGCCTCCCCCATTTGGCCTCAGATTTTAAAAGGTTGTCTGGGAAAGGAAAATGGTGTAAGAACAGACACCTCTCTCTCTCCTCTCTCTGGTAGAGAAGGGCTCTGGGGCTCTATTTGTTCCTTTCCTTCTCCCTCAGGCTGGCTGTATTATTCTTCTGAAACTCAGCCTACAGCCTAGTACTTATTCAGAACAACCAGTGACTCAGTTCAACGATCTCAGCAACCAGGCAGTAAAAGTGAGGAAGACAGGGAATTTGTCAAAGTCAGTGGCATAGGGTCCAGCAGATGAGGGCTTTTGAGATCATGGAAAAAGCAATGATGGAATGGCTGATAACAGGGTCCAGTATGGCTTAACCAATCCAAAAAGCCAAAAGGGGGTGAGGTCCAGAAAACAGTAAGAAGAGGCCACAGGGAGAGAGAAGAGAGGTTCCCATGGGAGCTAATTTTCTTAAAAGACTGGGAGTCGAGGTGTGGGATTATAGCTTTACCTCATCTTTACAACCCCAAAGGCCTAGTTAATTTTAAATGGTCATTAAGTGTTTTAAAGGTTGAATTTGCCTCAATTTAAAAAGGTCCAAGGGTAATGACCTTGTTTTACCTTCTTCATCCCCCACCCCCAGTACATGTTATGGTGGTAATTAACTGCAAGTCTCTGCTGTGGCTGCATCTTAAGCTGCCAATCAAATCATTAAAAAATCAGCATAAAATTATGTGCATAGACAGAACATGGTTGGATCTTTAGCTACTGACAAGCGCATGTCCAAAAATAACTTTTATCACAGTATATTGAAATAAAGGTGTTTCTTTACATTCAGAGAATTTCAACTATTTAAAGTATTTTCACATGCCTTGTTTTCCTTTAAAAACTCACCACAAATCTGGCAGGTGGATAGGGCTCAAATTTAGAGGGTCCAAAAGTTAGAGAAACTAACCCTGTACTCAATGCCATTCAATCAGCCATGTTCTTTATACTCTCATCATGTCCATTCAGTCTACAATAAAATCTGAATTTTAAAAATTTTTCATTTGAATGATTATTTTTAACTGCCTCCAAGACAATGTATGAAATGAGAATTTTTTTAAAGTTACCCTAATTCCGTACATGATTGCAATAATGGGAACATTATGATTTCAAATAACATAGGTAGGTAATAATATTCTACATTTAATGGTAAAAGGAGACCCACCTTATATTTTGAAATCAGATCACTCTGGCTCTCTCTTTGGTCAAGTAGCTGCTCAGCCCTCATAATGTATGATTCAAGTTCCTTCTGTGATTCTTCCACCTTCAGCCTGACATCCAGGTCTGGTGAAACCTCAGCTGCATTCTTCAACACCACACCTAATTTGACCATACTGATCTGTGAAGACAAGAAAATTCTCAACTCTTGGCCCCACTTTTCAGTAAATTTCTAAGTACATTTTTTGAGCAACAACTTCTATTTTTCCACCAGACAGACATAAGAGTTATTTATTATATTTCTCTTTTCCATTATGTGCTGAATTATAAAGAAATATATGCAATATTTGCATAACATTTCCAAACACAGCAACCTTCCTCCTATGCACCCCCTTACCCCCGTGACCACTAGATTTTAAAGATTAAATTCACTGAACAGTGGATATTAAAGAGAGACCTGAACTTTCTCTTTAGCTTCTTGAATCTTTGCCTGAAGTCCAGCAGTGAGAACATGTTGGAAGGACTCCTGGCTTGAGATATTTTGTACATCCATGTGTAAAGTATCTTCAGTTCTAGATACAAGTTCTTCATACATAGAGCCTTTGGCAATAAGGTGCTATTAAAGCAAGATCATAAAACACATTCTAGTTACATGTTAAACATTAACTTCATCAGAAAATTATTGAAAATTTCCTATCTAAAACGAGGTGTATTTGTACTCAAAACTGTTATTTTAAAATTTTTGAAATTTTATATTAATACAACAAATTCTGAGCTACTAATCTTTTATATATATGTTTTCTAATACAGTAGGCACTTCAATAACATAAAGACAAGAAGTAATACAATGCCAGTTGGGAAAAACTAACTTCGAGTAGTTATTAACCTTAAAATGAAGTTGTTCTAGGCCAAAACAACTGGAAGGGAATTCAGTATTGCTACTGGAGAAAATGACTACAGGAGTATCATCTTTTTAGAACCATGCTTTATACACCATATCCAAAATAAATTTCAGATGGATCAGAAAGTTATATACAAAATATAAAACTACAAAAGTAACAAAGTATCCGTGAAAATTAATCTGCTTTCTGAATGTGGAGGGGTTTTGTAGGCGTCTAAGTGGGGATAGAAAAGATGCCATAATGTACCCTGTGCAAGCTCAGCTGCCAGAGTGGAGGACTACAGAATGGACATGTGTAAAAGACGACACAGATCTGGGGGAGGAGTGGGGAAAAACAAAGGACTACATAGATATAAAAATCTGTGTAAAACAAACAACTCAAAAGTCAACAACTTAGTTAAAAATATTTGCCATAAAAATGAAAATGAGTCATGAGTCATGATTCCAAGAGCTCAAAATTCACTAAGAAAAGTACTAGTAATGCCAAGAAAACTCAGAATATACAAAAATAGTTCTCATCAATACATAAAAGTTTAATCTGACATGCAATCAAATAAGAAAAATTTTTAAAATAATGCATACCACTTTTCATTTATCAAATTAGCAAAAAAGAAAAAAAAGTTTAGTTACAACTCAAAGGTGGCATGAAGATAATAAATTCTATTTTGTGGCCCTCCCTGGTGATGCAGTGGGTTAAAGCACAGCACTGTAATGGCTGCAGCCATTTCAGTGCAAGTTCAATCCCGGGCCCTGGAGGTGACCCACATGGCATGGCAGGCCTCTCCTGACCCACCCACTGCTCCCCTCAGCAGTGTACTTTCTCATTCTGCCTGTTCTGCTTCCCACTCTGTATCTGGTGAAGCCTTTCACCACCCTTGCACCTGTGGCCTGTACTGTTCTGTATGCAAAAATAAATAAATCCTCATAAAATAAAAAATTATATTTTGTGATATCAGCTATTGTAAATACTGATGTCATTTATCTTAGAGTAGTGTAATTATGGTAATTTTATTTTCCTTTTATTTAAATGTTCAAATATTAGTTTAGCATGCTCATTATAATTTCAATGTTTTTTTTTTTTTTTAAAGATTTACTTATTTGTGCATACAGAACTGGGGTACAGGCCAGAGGTGCAATTCTCTGGGGTGAGAGGATTCACCAGAGACAGAGCGGGGAGCAGAACAGGCAGATCGACGAAGTTCACTGCTGAGGGGAGCAGCGGGCGGGTCAGGAGAGGTCTGCCACGCCATGTGGTCACCTCCGGGGCATGCGAGAATCGAACTCATGCGGAAGTGGCTTTAGCTTCTCAGTGCAGTGCTTTAACCCACTGCACCGCCAGAGAGGGCCCCAATGTTTTCTCTTAATAAAAAGTAATTAAAGTAAAAAACAAATATTCAAACAAAAACCAAACAAGAAAGGTAAAGCATGTAAAGAAAAATTTCCTTATTTTCCCCATCCCTCCTTTTGTTGTCATTCAATCTATAAAATATAAAAAATTTTACACATCCATTTAAAAAAAACCCATTTTATGTTTATGATGCGCCAAGAAATGTGCCGGAGCTGGGTATAATGCAGGATCAAGATAGCAGTAACTATGTGTATGTCATTAGACAATTTTCTATGAATATAAATGCAGAAAGTGTAAAAAAAAACACAACTGTTTTAAAAGACACAAAAAGGAACACATCACCAGCACTGCCCAAGCAGTTGCATTTCAAGATACTTTATATCTTGATTCAATAGAGAGCTATTTAATTCTCTAACAAAAGTCTATTCCATCTTCCCAGTGGACACAAAAATGTTAATTTGAAGGGAAACCTGCACTCCTACGTTTATGACAGCACTATTCACAGTAACTAAAATGTGGAAACAACCTAAATGCCCCAAAACAGATGAGTCTATCAAAGAGATGTGGCATATATACACAATGGAACACTACTCAGCAATCAAAAAGATAAACTCACGCTATTTGCAGCAATATGGATGGAACTAAAAGGGACCATGCTCAGTGAAATAAGTCAGAAGGAAAACAAAAAATATTGGGTGGTTTCACTTAAGAAAGAATATAGGGAAACTGAAAAAGGTCCAGAAGGAAAAAAAAAAAAAGACAAAAGTAGTAGGCATATTACAGATCTGAGACATTCAGCAGGGGAGGGGAGGAAAGGATCAAACCAGGGGAAGGGCAAACCCAAGGTACTATGGTGATGGTTCACAGGTTAAATGGTGATGGGCGACTTATGGGAATTACATTTGAGGAGAGAAATCAAATATTGTACAAAAATGATGTATAAAAAATAAATTTTTTTTGAAAAAAATATCCTGAGGATCATTTTGTTTTGAAAAAATTTTAAAAATAATGAATGTCTTCATTTTTTCATTGAAATAAATTCTAGATATAGCATAAATATTAAAAATAAAAGTAGTGAAGCCATGGCAGATGGCACAGATATATATTTTCAAAACCATAAACAGATTTATTCTCATAAACAAGGAAAACACAAGATGCTAATTATATACACTTTAGAAATATAGATTTAGGAGGATTCTATCAATGCCTTTTTCCAGGAAACATCTTGTAATTTATAACATGCTTAATATGTTTTATAGCTGAGCTGGAACTCAGTAAAAATCTCAATTGAAACTTCTTTCCTAGAAGAATTTAGTGATATTAAAAAAAAAAATCTCTTGCTTCATTGCTTTTCAATGAGTCAACAGCCTGAGAACTAAGAGAAAGGCCCTTCGAACATCAGTCACCCTCCCTGCACTGTGGAAAGAAGGGGTTTCCTCAGTAGGTAAGCTTTCACAGCATGGCTTGTATAATCTCTTATAGTCACACTGCACTGAGCTAACTGAGACCGAATTTACTCGTCTCTTCATTGACTTCTGAAATGGGAAGACTATGTTAATCTTCATTGTACAGCTTGAAAATTAGTCCAAGACTTAGTCTCCCATGGCATTAGTAATATTCGTCTACCTTGTGTTTTCAACTGAAATCACAGCAAATGATCCAGAGACGTCAATCTTTGCTATTTTTTTTAAAATGCCAATAAAGAAAATTCAAACAAGTAGGCTTAATTTCTATGTACTTGAGAACTTTTAATACTTTTAATACTCCTACAAACAAGAAAGCTGATCTTTTAATACTTTCATACTCATACCTTCAAAGAGCCTTCCATTGTAGGATCAACATCATCTTGATTTCTCAGAATATGTAAAACAGACTTGGTTTCTGCCTCCCAGGTTTCCACTTGACTGATGAGTCTTTCAACCTCTTCAGCCACTTTTGCTTGCTCTGTGAATTGTTCCTTTTCTTTTTCATGTTCTTCCCCAGCCTACAAACATTTAAAATTATCACTGAGAAAATGACAACATTTACATTTTGAAATAATTTTCAATTTTAAGAAGTTATACTTCATTTTTCCCTGAAGAGTACTAGTTCAGTACATTTAAATGATTTGAGACCTAGTTTGGGGACAATGATGCTCATATGTTATGAGAGCATATATCACTTTAGAAATTAAGTTGTGTTCTTTTTTCTTAATTTATACTGTTCCAACAGATAGAAAAATTAAAGGCTAGAAAACTAGAGTACACTTTTTTTTTTAAGATTTATTTGTGCATACAGAACTGGGGTGCAGGCCAGAGGCTCAGGGGCGGTGAGAGGCTTCACCAGAGACAGAGCGGGGAACAGAACAGGCAGAACAGGCAGATCGAAGAAGTACACTGCTGAGGGGAGCAGCGGGCGGGTCAGGAGAGGTCTGCCGCGCCATATGGTCACCTGAGGGGCAGGAGGGAATCGAACTCATGCGGAAGCGGCTTTAGATTCTCAGTGCTGTGCTTTAACCCGCTGCGCCACCAGGGAGGGCCAGAGTACACTTTTTAAAAGTTTTCATAAAATTTAATTAAATACCGCTATTGGTAATAGTAACTATGAAACATTTAAAGAAGACAAATTTTTAGCAAATTTGTTAATTTACCTTCAATATTTCTGCACTAATTAACCCTCAGTATTCTATAAGTCAATACAATACAGCTTTACATGAAAAACAAATTCTAAAAGTTCTTTTAAATCAGATAGCATTTTAAATGCCTCAGAAGAATCTACTCTAAAAGGAGACTGCACAAATTCATATCTTTCAAGATTTTCTCTGAGTAGGTCTAGTAATAGAGGGAAAACACTGGCACTCCATCTTGGCAGGAGCCAAGCCAGCTAACCACTGCTTTCTTAAGTAAAGCTATATAAATTATCATTCTGAAGGAGGTGTGTTTCCCAAAAACCATAGGTTTCAGACCCTACAGGTGTATGCCTTTGTTATCTTCCAAATCACTGAACAAAGAAGGAAATAAAATTATATATTTTCCTCCTCTAAGAAGGAAGGCACACAGACGAGGGCTAGGCCAATAGCTACACAATCGCTGGGAACTAATCAGATTTAGTCTGACCTAAATCTTCCACAGTCAGAATTCACAACTGTTTCCATTTCTGGAATTCCCCAGTGAGTGGGACACAGGTCTTATACCTACTTCATGAAGGTGATCACTTAAGCATTTTCCTGGAAAATTATCTAAATATACATCGATTTGATATAGTATTTAAAAGAAAAGTAGTAAAGATAAGGTAACTCTATATACAGATAAAATACATAAAGTATAACTATTTTACCTGTATGTTTTGATTGTGATTTTCAGGACATTCTATTGACATATCCACTGAAAAATCAACATTTGTTTTTTCCTCTTTAGATAGCTGTAAATTTCCAGAACTGTCAAGCATGGGCTCAAGCTGTTTTTTTATAAGTGGCAGGTTCATTTCCTAAAAGTAATTAACTTTATAAAACTTAATGATATTTTTTATGCTGAGGTATATTATTATACACAACATTATTATAAACAACACATGAATAATGTATTCAATAGTTTTTGAATTTATCAATGAGTGACAATGTTCTAAAATATGAGCATTTTCTATTACATTCCTAGGAATAACTGAAAGTTAAATTATTTCCTAAAGATTTACTTTCATGAGACACTACGCTAAACAGAAATTTCAGTATATATTCTCAAAGAGCTTGCAATCCAGTAGGCAAGAATGGAATGCTCATGCTATCCTTCAATGGTAAACCAATTTTAACTAAAAAGCTGTATTCTGTACAAGAATATTCCTAGTAGCATTATTAACAAGTTAAAAAAAAAAGTGGAAAGAAAGCAAATGTGTAGTGCTGATCAATGATTTAAAACATTTTAAAATCAGTGATTTAAAAAATTTGACATAGGCAGCTATCTTCAAATCAAAAGGAAATGCTACACAGGTTGAAGAACATCATGCTAAGTGGAAAAGTCAGACACAAAGTCCACATATTATAGGATTCCATTTATGTGAGCTATCCAGAAAAGGTAAATGATAGAAAAGTAGATGAGTGGTTGTCTTACAATGGGGAGACTTGGAGAAAACAGGGAGAGATGGCTAAAATGGGCACCATTTCCTTATGAGGTGATGATTATGGTAATGGCCACAAAACTCTGAACATACTAAAAATCACTGAGTTATGTAACTTATATAAGTGAGTGAATGATACAGTATATGAATTACACCTCCAATAAATACTTTACCACAGAAAGAACTTACAAGTTGGGTTTTTGTAATAAACTTTCTCCATCTTTTATTCAGTCTTCTCAGTTCTTTAGAAATAGATAATCCAACTTCATCATTGCTCACTTGAATTAAGAAAGTCCCCACTTCATTTAAAGTAACATGGTCTAGATTCCACTGGGATAGTGTCTCAAAGGGAACCTATATAACATAAAAGTAACGTCATATTTAACTACATGATTTTTGTCCACCAGAAACTCAGGTGTTAAATCTTGTAATCACTCAAATGGAAAAATGAAACATTTAAAAACATAAGTTTATTTTGAATGTGTTATAAGCTATCCAGCACTCCACATCTTATATTTCATTTTCTACAAATTAGTAATATCTTTTATTTCATTTTCTAGAACTTAGTGATATATATTCCAAAAGCTAGCTATAATGTTTCTGTAAATTATGCTTCTGTAAGTGTCCTCACCCTTATACACACACACACACACAAATACACATACATTAGGAAGACAGGAAACTCTTTGCAAGACAATGGAGAATTTTTCCAATACTTTTACTTTTGTTTCCTGCCTTCTCATTTTTTACATAAAAAATGAGGGTTGTCAACCAAAATGGAGGGGTAGAGCAGGGGATCAAATTGCCATTAGACTACAAATACCTCTTTAATCTGTGCCTTCTTTGTCTCCTCAAAACAAGTCTTTAATAAGTGGAGTTTTTCCACATAAGTAGCCCAACACTTTAGAACTTTCTGTAGAGTGGACCTGATATCATGTATATTTTTTCTACACATACAAAGATTATATTCCACCATTCCATATTGTTTACTAATATCCTGATATTCACCACCTATATTGTTAACAAAAGAAAGTTATCTTAGAAAAGTTTATTAATAAATTCGTACTAAATTTGTTAACTAAAATTATGCATATTTACTGACAGAGGAAAAGTAAATATATATTCTGATGATATTGCAAGTGAATGAAAGATATTCCCAGAGAAAACACACATTTAAAACTAATTTCTAAAACATTAAATGTATAAAGAAAAAAAAAAAGAAATAATATTTTTAAGTGTTGGTCATCCCATTAAAAAGTGTCTATATATGGGATATAACATTACCCAAATTCTTATGACTTTCTTCACATTTTTGAAAAGAATTTTCAAGTTCAGCTAGGACCTCTTTTTCTTCAATAAATTTCTGCAAGTGGAGAGGAGGAAAAAAATCATGTTGACAGTTTTTCATTTTTAAAAATGTGCCAAGAAATCTAAAGACGAGATGAAGTTCTGGGCATCAACAGTTCTTTGACTTTACTACTACAAATTTGAATAGGGGAAAAGAACAACTCCTGAGGAAAACTAACAGAGGTCTAGAAGACATAAAATAAGAAGAACATTATTTAGGTACAAGCCTGACAAACTTTATCTTAATGTGACATGGTTCAGTAATGGTCTTTCTCTCTGGAGAAAAGGCAATTTAAGAAATTACAGTAATTTCAAAATGTCCTACTTTGTATATTTATTAATATTGCATAATTTGTTAAGTTTCTTATTTCACATGGTTTATTAGCATAAATAATTTATATGAGCTATATTAGTTATATTAAAAAGATACCACCCATCACCACAAACTTTTGAGAAAGTACCATTAACAAAATTATGTACCCCATGCAATCATATTCTGCTCCAGAGAAACACAGAAGTAATGAAAGCTCATATTCACTGTATAATTATATATTCCCATGGTATGATCATTTAAAAGGAAAAATCAAAGAGAACAAAAGAAATAAAAACATCCAAAAGCTAATCTAGTTTAGGAAAGATGCTTGAATAGGCAGAACAATAAATAAATCATAAATTGAAAATACATTTCCCTTGTCAAATTTTTTAGCTTTTGTGCTGAAATTTACAATCTCAAATTTTTTTTCTTTGGCCCTGACTGCACAGAGAAGAAACAGAAAAAATGATGATAAGGTCTATAAAAATGACATTTGTAGGGTGCTTTCATTTTATTTAGTGTACACATTTATATTCAAATCATTTGCAACATCTTTTCCTATAAAATACAAGAACTAAAACTCCCACAAAGTCTCAAAACAAAAGGCACTACTTCTCCCTTTCTTGAAATGGAAGAGGCTAAGATTAAAATGTTGTAAAAGAAATTTAATTTTTGAATGAAATAATGAATCTGAGAGGGAAAACAAACAGTATGTCTCATAAGAGCAAGTAGGAACTTCTAATGGACATAACACTGAAACTTTATTATGTAAATTAATCTGGCTAACTTTTCATCTTCCTTAGGGTGGTAAATAATACTTTCTTTTTTACTCTTCCCTATGTTGATTTAGGAGCTATGTCTTTTCTCCAGGCAATACTGACACTAATGAAAGCTACCAAAATCATTTCAAAATCTGATAATGTAGAGGTAAGCTGTGCTAATGAAAAATGTGACCCAGCTCCCAGACATGGAGAACAGTTTCTCAAGACGGGAAATAAAACAGCTTACATGCCAGTCTTCTAGCAGGAATTCCACGGATTCTCTGGTCCCATATCTGATGTTCCAAGCACCCAATTTTGATTTTACTTCATCCAGCAAACCAAGTACTGAGCACTTATAGTAATGAAATTCTAGAAGTGGAATGTATTTTTTTCCTAAAATGTTGTTGATTCTGGAAAATATTAATGGTTTTAGAATTTAACTTAGCATTATTGATCAAAGGTAAGATAACGAGTTTGGAGGTTTTGTTTTTTTTTAAATATTGGGGCTTAAACTTTATTTTAAGCACAGAAGACTCACACATTTCTCTTCATCCTTTTTTTTTTTTCTTAAACAAAGTAAGACAAACATGGTTGAAAAGTTCTGGATAGAAATGCCACTGTAATTAAAATATTTACATATTAAAAGAGCTCTCTTGATTAAGGCTAACACCCTATTACTATCATTCTAATAAGTTCCTTTTGAGTAATGACAAAGGATGATGTGGATGGCCATCAATGAAATGAACTCTGTATTTGTGGCACTGTTAGAGGCAAGTCCATCTGAGAAGAGGAGCAACCCACCACAGTAATGGGAGCCATTATCTGGGGCCATTTTCCTTCCTCCACTTCACTGCAGTTACTTGGACTACAAGTCCCAGTACACCATGCAGGGGAGATATTGAGAACAGGGTTGGGCTGAGCACTCCCCATAAAATATGGAAGCGGGGGGCTGCTTTTTTCTTCTTTCTGTACCCTGACTTGCCTCCAGGGACTAAGGGAAGGAGAACTGGAGGAGGTGTGTGGATGAGAGAGGTGTGGAGACATTTGGAAGAGACACCTAAGAAGATACGTATGGAGAGGATGAAAATAATTTATCTTGATTTGTACTTTAATTTTGCCCTATGCCCGGTCCCTATTGTCTCTTTCTTGTTTCTCTGCCAGAATGTGCTTTAGACTTATAGCAAACTTTGCGGCCTCCCTGATTTAACTGCAGGCTGATCTTATTTGACTGGGCATTTGCCCCACAAAGGGATAGATCCACAAAGGGATTTGTAGTATTTTACTGGTAAACCTTTATCAAGAATTTTCTTGTCTCTGTATATGCACTAATTTTGAAGATCTGTCACACTAAAGTCAGCTTTGCTTTTGTGCACAAGGACAGCCAGATCCCTTTAGCTCATGCATCCCATTTGTCTGGGGTTCCTGGAAGCCCCTCAGTGGCACAACAGTATTTTAGAATTTACAAAAGCCTCATGTACCTCCTCCCATTCATCCAGTATCTTTGCAAGACACAAACAGGGTGATTATCATTAACCTATATTTGCCAGTGGAGAGACATGCTCAGAAAAACAGAGCAACGTAGCTAAAACCAATACACAGAGCTGTTTCTGACTTTTTCCATCATCATATCCTACTGTCCAATAAGAAAGGAAGTGTGCCAGCATGTTACATAACACATTAAGTGCTGTCATCAAATTGTAAAGAAGAAAACTTGTCAGAAGTTATCTAAAAAATCTACATATGGTAGTCTGTTAGCAAAATATTAGTGCTCAAACACAAACAGTATCAGCAGCTGTGAAACAGTCATGTCACCCACCGTCTCTTCAATTCCTCCAACTTCTCAGGTGGTACCAATGGCAAATGGTTTTCATCCATATTTTCAAATTCCAGGAGAGTGTTTGAATGATAATCAAATTTATCCATCAGATTCTGAAAAGAAATTTAGCTTGATGTTATTAAAAAAGAAAATGATAGGGCCCTCCCTGGTGGCTCAGTGGGTTAAAGCATGGCACTAAGAAGCTTAAGCCACTTCTGCATGAGTTCGATCCCCACCTGCACCAGAGGTGACCACATGGCGTGGCAGACCTCTCCTGACCTGCCCGCTGCTCCCCTCAGCAGTGTACTTCGTCGATCTGCCTGTTCTGCTCCCCACTCTGTCCCTGGTGAAACCTCTCACCCTCCGCATCTCTGGCCTGTACCCCAGTTCTGTATGAATAAATAAATCTTTTTAAAAAAGAAAAGAAAAGAAAATGATAGCCAAAAATGGAATTGCTTATGCTAAGCCCTAATACCTAACCTGACTGTGGTTTCAAGCCCCCTGCACTTTCAACATCTCCCAGGAATGTAGTCAGTATGGGATTTTTTGGTCAGCACCAATGAGATCATCTTTAGAGTCCCTAAAGAAAAACAAGATAATCCACCATTCCCCAGAATGGATCTCTGAAATGATGTCCTCTTCCGTTACATTTCCCCCCCTTGCCTATGAAAAAATCTTACTTTGTACAGTTTTGTAATATATTGTTTTATATATTGTTATATATTGTCCATTCCTTTGAAGGCATAAATGCTAGAAATCTCAAATATCAAAGTATTTCATGCCATTTGGTTGTTATTCCAATTTCCCACATTTTAAACTAGCCTCCTTGCCACTTTGGTGGGTTTTTTGTTTGTTTGTTTGCTTTTACATTTTGAAAGGACAGGTTTATTAGGAAAAGGAGGAAAAGAGCAAAACCTGCAGTCACAGGTGGGTAGGAGAGCTGTGTTGTGCCAGTGTCTGGGCCTGCTTTTTTCAACAGACTATATAGTTACTTGAGAATTTACAGGACTCTTGATTTATATTATTTCAACCTTAAACTAACGAGTGCTTGTGAAGAATATGATGGTATCTTTCAGGTCTCCAAAATCCCCAAAGAATCATTCTAAACCATCCTCAAATACCCACTCTATTTTTCCTCCCTTCTTTCTAGGACAAAGTCTTCCTCAAGTACCACCTCTAAAAAATTAGTCTGTAACAAATTTTTCCACGTTGCTCTGCCTTTTCCAACCTTGAATAAAGTCATTTTCTCTTGTATGAGTGCCATGGCTTCAGCGTCATTCCAGGAGGGTGGCAAATCTTCATCCATAAGCTCCTCTACCTCCTGGAGCCAAGCTTCAATTTGATGAAGGGGTGAGGGTAAGACATGATGCAGCTTTTTTTCCCACATATTAATCTAAAAAAAAAAAAAAAGGGCGGGGGGGGAGCAGGGTGGAGATGTTCTTCAATACTCTTCTAGCTTATTTCTTCATATACAATTAACTTCTATTTTTTAAAGTTTCTCTTAGCTAGTATTCAAGAAAACCTTTCTTGGCAGGTAAACTTCCTAGCTCTAAATATCACCTGACTACCAGCTGATTGAGAAGATAATTAGCTTTAAAACTGTAAGAGGAGAGGGTGTAAGGATAAAAGCAATTGTTCTGATAAATCCATAGTCAGTTATGAGGGATATCAGAAATATTTAGAGCACTCATTTAAGCAGATAGATTGCTTAATGACCAGCTTTTGAAATGTAAGCCTTGAGTTCTCAGAACTATAATTCACAAAGATTTATAGGTTATTTTCCTTACCATCCCAACCATATATTCACATTAGATCTCTCCACCACATCTCCTGAGTTTCTGCCCTTCATTAAAGCCCACCTTTCACCACCACCCCACCACCCCCACATCCCAGGGAACCTCCTCCTTCCTCAGCCTTCTCACTACTCCCTTATGCACAGGAGCCACACAGATGCCAACAACAGGCAGCACTGCTTCACCACAGGGAAACCTTCTGAGAAATGCCTCATTACATGATTTCATCATTGTGGGAAATCCCAGACACACTTAGACAAACCTAGACAGTAACAGTCTGGACCACTACACTCCTCAGCTAGATAAAGGACATCTTACACATGGTCTGCTGCTGAATGAAGCTATTATTATGCAGTGTGTGAGTATACTTATTTCTCCCCAAATAGACTACTCTTAGATTTTTGCTTTTCCAGCTACTTCTACCTGGATTCCCCCCACCAAACCCCATTAAGGATTGTCAAAATTCACATACACACATATACACATTCATTCATTAAGCAAATATATTTATTAATAACCTATAGCTCTAAGAGTTTGATATAAAGACACAGAAGGCTTCTGGAGTGGAGAGGGAACAGGTGGTGGTTACATTCAGACACAAACTGGATGCACACACATGACAATGCAGAAGTCCCTTAAATTTATGTGCTCGGGAATGAAAGAAAACAAAGCTATAATAACAGTTTACACAATTTAGTAATACATGAACACATAAATATTTTCCCCAAAAAATAGATAAAGCAAAAAGATACACATTAAACACATCCCAATGGTGATATGAGGAGCAAGGAAAATGGAAGGGATGTGAGGGCACAAAAAGAAATCACAACTAAATGGGTGAATGGAAATCAAGAGTAGGGCCTTGCCAAGACCGTGTGCCATGGGCAGAAGAATAAATTCAGCACAACACTCTGCTTCTCAGGGTCCACCAGCTAAATAAAAGCCACAGCTCTTGCCCAAACTTCCTAGTGGCACAACAAGGTTATACTATAGTGTGGCCAGCAATAATCTAGGTTCAGGCAGAGGAGTCTGGGGAGGACTCCATAGGAACACCAACTCCTCGCTGACAACCAGATATCTTAAACATCATAAAAATCCAGCTCCAAGACCCCTCCCTTCCTGATGATCCCACTGTGGCTTTTCATCTGAACTAAGTTGACTCTTTCATGGATTTTTTGTTTTCTTGTTCCAAAATCATCCCAAATGATTATCAAGAACAAATGAAAATGTGTGTCATTCAAACTACTTCTTCTAATGAAAGTATGAACTTTAGTCTGTATTTTCTCTTTCCACTGTAGGTCTATTAAATGAATTGTCACTTTTCTTAGAGTTAAATTGTTCTACTAGGCAAAGTCTGTATATTCTATGGGTTATTTGATTCATCATCGAATTATTCAAACACATCATTAGGTGTCCACTTCATGCCAGGCAAGTATAACCACTGAATCAAAGATTCAAGAAGAAGGGTGCTAAGTGAAGGTAAGCTAACCTTCTTTTGGGTAGTCAAATAATGCTTCTCTTCACAAAAGAGAAGCATTAAATATTAGGGGTATTTTTTTGTACTTTTGTCTTGCTTTTCTTTCAGTTTTATTGAGGTATAGTTGACAAATGAGATGGTAAGCTATTTAAAGTGTATGTGATAGAGTGATTTTATATACACATATGCTGAGAGCAGATTGCCACGATCTAATTAATAAACACACTTCTCTCTTCACATATTTATCTTCTTAAAAATATTTTGTTGGGGCCCTCCCTGGTGGCGCAG